TAAAAAGACGCAGCAATGCGATACATTTTTAACCAGAAGAAAGCGAATGCCGACAGAAGTTCCAGTGTGTTTGGCTTGCAGCAAATGTGCTGTTGAATCCGGATAATGTCAAGCTTGATGAGGTAGGTATGCTACGCATTTTTATCTGATATTTCGAGGACCAGTGGCCGGAATTAGCTATTTTGATATACCAACTCCAACGCCTTTGAGCCCATTTGAGGTACTACACCTTTTTGCGTTAGCTTTTGACCATTGGGCAAAACATTTGTACACATTCGCCATATAGGTGGCGCTACAAATGATCGGTTGGTCACAAAGAATCACCATTGTGCAAAACTATTCGGCGATCTTCCTCTATAACTCGACATTGAACGAATGGTTCAACATTGTGCAAAACAAATCGTCAATGGTCGAAACTATTCGTCATATGCCGAGCTGTCTCCCTCTATGCCGAAGTCTGGCGACCTGTTAAACTGTTTTGCAGATCGCTCATTTCAGTGTTCAATCTGTTTTGCTGAATGGCAGAAATGAAACGGACCACGCCGGAATAGTTGTGCTCAATGCCGCTTGTCGAAATGGCTCCTCAAACAGTTATGGCGAATGGTTGAATTCAAATGCAAAAAGGTGTATTGTCTATTGGGTCCATACAACTGAAGTGAGGCGATGCATGAGTCATATCACAGAGCTGAGTTGCCTACAGGAAAAGAGAAAAACTTGTCATATATGATCCGTCCGCCTCCCGCACTGACGGCAACATCGCGTCCGTCCCACAGGTCGTGACCTCTGCAGGTCGGCGGCGGCTGTTTATTTCCCGAGCGTCTCTCGCAGCACGCGCCGGCTTCCGATGACGCTCCGTCCGGCGGCCGAGTGACGAAGATAGATGACGGCGGACGGCCAGACGGACGGGAGTGGTGAGAAGCTGCTCAGGAAAGGCGAGACGGACCGAGCTGATACCGAGAGAGCCGGAACGTACCTACCGAGCTTAGACCGGGAGAGGTCGAGCTTGGACCAAGGGAGACGAGACGGACCGAGAGAGTCGAGGCGGAATGAGCTAAGACCGGAAGAGGTCGAGCTTGGACCGAGAGAGACGAGACGGACCGAGAGAGTCGAGGCGGACTGAGCTAAGACCGGAAGAGGTCGAGCTTGGACCAAGGGAGACGAGACGGACCGAGAGAGTCGAGGCAGAATGAGCTTAGACCGGAAAAGGGGCGAGACAGAGGCGGAGCTAAGACTGACAGGGGCTATAAACGGGCCGAGCTAAAACCGGGGGAGTCGAGACGAGTGATCGCTGCAGCCCCAGGGTCTGTTGGCCGTCCATTATGTATAGTGCCGGATGGTACTGGACATTTTTAGGAAAACTCAGCATGTAGGCAGGTGCTTATGATAACTTTAACAAAACGCCTGGAGTCTGGATAAAAACGCTTAGAGATTAGGAACAAAACATCATTTTACATGAAACAACAGCATCTTTATTCAGGCAGATTTCTGCCCCGAGCTTGAGGGACTTACTGAATAAGGCCGCCTGAATTCTTTTTTAACTGCCGTAAGTCTTCCCGTATTTACGGACCATTAGCCCCCGGGGCACACTAGCGTTAATGCCGTAGTCTGGAGAACGGCGACTCTGAAGTTAAGCTCGCCTCCGGGAGAGTTCAGCGGACGGCAGAGACGGAGCCCTCTGAGCGGAATGCCGTAGAAAAAACTCCCGATATCAGGCCGAGACGGTCGAATTTACTGTGCAATGCATAGGCGGCGGAACGGGGAGGGCACTGGGGCACCGTGCCCCCCTTTGATTTTAGCATTTTAACATTAGCCCTATGGGCGTTGCATGGAAAGAATGGGACCAAAAGTCGGCAGTGCCCCCCCCCCCCTTAATTGAAGTTGTTCCGCCGCTACTGGTGCAATGTGCATGTTGCCAGGCCCGGAGGCATATAATCTCGCAGTGTGTTGAAAATCGAATAGTTATTAGATCGGTGTTATATTCGTCATTATTTCTAATAGCTTTAATCACGAGCGTCGAGCAAAAACCTTGGTTCACTGTGACCGTTACGTCAGAATAAGTTCTACCTCATAAATGATGAAACATAATCGTGCTATTATAATCTCTTGGCTCACTGGGTGGGCATTGATCATGTGTATCGATTGTTATGAGCTATTCATTATTCCATTCCAGACCACATTAACTGTACCTATTTAAAATGTGGGCAATGTTCTGAGACATTTATTGTAATGATCATTTACCTACTTCTGTAATTATAAAACGTAATTTTCATGAAACTTATCGAATACGGAATAATCGAAATAAAGTGAGCTGACATATAACACGTCGTTTTCAATAAATAAACAAAAAATAAATGAATAAACGACCGCAATAACAAGTTACGCTCACTTGCACCCAGTCCCACAATGCAAATACGTTCACCGAATACGCGGCAAATGTCAGGTCAGCAGTGTGAGCCGGTCGGACGAGCGCCGGTCGATGCCGAGCCGATGCCTTTTCGATGAGCCAATCTGCCGCTGCTTGCCGACGCGTTTCGCAGCCGCGACCGGGCACGCCACTTCAAACATGACGAGTTGACATACGCCAGTCGGTTGCACTTTGCAATAGGCCCGACAAACACAGTAATTCAGACAACCGTAACGAGCGGTGAGGGTAATTTAAATTGAGCCCGAAATAATTCAGCGTGGCCCACGCGAAGCTCGCAAATAAGTAACGGGTGGTCAGTATGAAACTGGACAAAATTTGATTAAGCATAGCATCTCCAATTATGGACCGATCTTAATTATTTTCGGCAGGTAAATACTTACAGTTATTCTATATTACCAGCTCAGATTTCAACTTTCTACTATTAACGAGTAGAAAACATTGCGCCGGTAAGTCAGCAAGCGTTCCGGGACCTGTTCGCGCAAGTTTTTGAAAATAATACAAATTACAAAAACGCTACAATTTTGCGTCACATTACGCCATAGGATCTCACCAGATCTAAAGAATATGTGATCATCGATAAGTTCTGAGGACTTGCAGATGTTTTGCATGGTGGGCACGGCAAGATCACCAAGAAAATGCCCATTCAGCTCCGGAAGAAACAAACCGGCGCCGTCACCGAACAGTTGGGGCTCTCCCAGTGATCTCTGGGAAGAAATTTTGGAATCTTCAAAACATATGACCAATTAATATGTCCACAAGCAGGAATCAGGTACAGAAATAGGATAAAGGTGACGGAGGCACAATTTCGTATACAGCAAAACCGCCTGCGCCGTCTGTCACAGGGTCCAATACAGGGTAGCAAAAACATGGAGGTGCATATGGACAATGAATCTGATTTCACCTGAAGTGGCAGCCAAATGCCTTCCATTGTCGGATTTTACACCTCACCTGGTGGAGACACTATTCCACATGTGGATCTCACCTTCGCTTTCGACCTGGGAGCAAGTACCCACCCGAGATGCCCGTCTGGCTTGCCATGAGTCCGAGGGGCTCGTGCGTCCAGTTACTTGCCGAGCACAGGCAATGTAACGGGTGAACTGTGCTATGAAAAGTGTTTGAATGGCGTGTTGTTACCACTTATTGAGTCTCAGAACACAGAGCATGATGCTCTGTTAGGTTCCCACCTTGCAACAGTCACAGTACGCGCGCTAGAACACGAAACTTCTTGAGGAGGCTGGGGTGCCCGAAATAGCACGTGACATGACCCCGCCTCGTACCCCTCAGATTTAGCCCATTGAGGATCTGTGGGGCTCATCAAACAGAAAGTGTATAAGGGAAGGTGGCAGGTCAGCTGAGACGCAAAATTGAAGCAGAGAATCCAGCAGGCCATCCGTCAAATCGACCCGGAGGTGCCGCGAAAGATAATGGCGGGGCTGCCAGCGCGCGTGCGCTTGGCGGCTGACAGAGGTCCAGTGTCGCAGATCCATTAGGGCGAGCGTGATCACAACAAAATAATGGCACGGTAACGCGATTTTCGTTGCTTTCGCTTGAAAACTTACGACACAGTAACAATTCAAACTTTGTCCAGTTTCATACTGACCACCCGTTACCTGCGTCAAGGAGTTAAATATAGGCTAAATAAACTTCAAGTACCCAGCTAACAGGAAACGTTAGTACAACGTTGTTACAACGTCGTGCTTCGGTAAGTTGCGAAATTACGTTTTAATTACGTTGTAGCAACGTTCTGAACGTTGTGAAGCCATGGTTTGGTCCGAAAGTTGTGGTAAAACGTTGTGACAACGTTTTATTGGTACGTTGCAGCAACCGCGCACTTGCAACATTATATTTTGATGATGCATGGTGACATATATGGCCATATAATGCATTTCCTTTGACTTTCAATGCGCATTTCAGTTTTCATCGTTAAATTTGACATGTTTTAACATTAGGACTGTTCACGTTGTCAGCTGGTGGTAGCCAACACGTTGTTAAAACGGTTTTTCACGACCTTGACATTATAGGTACTGAATAATTAGCGGTGTTTTTACAAGTAAATTCTGATACCTCTCTCTATCTCTCTATCTCTCTCTAATATATATATATATATATATATATATATATATATATATATATATATATATATATATATATATATATATATATATATATGTTCCGGTTAGCCAGTCTTTGCCGTAGCGCTCCGGAGTTAGTATGGTTTCGGAACGCCAAGTCCGGCACAAATCCGGCTCCCTGCCACCCAAACAATATGCCCGGTTACATAGCATTTTTGTCGGGGCTGTTGCTCACTTCTTCTGCGATAATTTTAGTGCAGTACTTTTCGTATATTTAGATGAGGTCATTGTGTAAATTGCAAAGCGTCATTGGCATGTTTTGCAACATCACAGGCGAAGCTAGAGGCTTGCAACTATCCCTATGTAAACGCGGCTGTTATCCGCGGCTGCCAGCAAGCCGCGCCGGCCGCCACTCTGGCGAACGGTCGCTCGCCCTGACCTCGCCGGAGGGGCCGTGACGTCAGTGTCACCGGCCGGCGTTCAGAGCCAGCCGGCCGAGCCGCAGTCTACGCAGCGCGAGCGAGCAGTGAGGGCCGGCGGTGGGCGCGGCTGAGATAGCTGGAAGATGAAAGATAGCGCCAGTTGTCTGCGTTTGATGTGATTGTTGCTTTGACTGGTAAGTCAAAGTACCATTTACGAGAAGCATTTGCAAGATTGTGCCTTGTAATATCGTGCGGTCTAGGCTATAGTTCATTGTAGCTCTAGCCTCTAAGGTGTTGACATGTTTGATCTAGCCTGTCGCACTGTTACGGGAAGTGGTGCAAGTATTTTTGTGATTTTTTTCCATGAATTGAATATGTCTGATTTTCCCTCATGTCTTCCCGCAGACGTCCTGCAACTCGTCAGTGCGCCTTGTGGCAGGCCTACTGTCGGCAAGGCGGTAGCGAAGTGGCTGTCCTGAAGCTGCGATCGGAACGGGGGGTGCGCAGATCGTCTGGTCAGGCACTGCCAGCTGCCTAGGGACATCGAGGCCGCAAATGAGCCGGTGCCTAACGGTCCGCCGAGTGATCCTCCCAGCGAGGGTTAGTGAAGACATAGGCGTAGGAACAGGGGGGGCCGGGGGGGCCATGGCCCCCCCACTTTTCAGCCATTTTTTAAAGTAAAATCTTTATTTTTGATTTAAATACACAACTAAGCGCAGGAAATGATTCAGCAAGGTGAGATGAGCACAAAACTGCAAAGAATTTCTTCATAGGGGTATTGGGGCTCCCACAAACTGACATTGAAGTTTCGCTGGCCCCCCCACTTTTCGTGAGGTTCCTACGCCCATGAGTGAAGAAGTGAACTTCCACCAGTTCTGGCGTGCTAGCGGCTAGTGCTAGAGCCGGTACAACCCAATTCCGTCCCACGCCCCCATGGGGGATGCCGCCGCTGTCGTTTTTTTTTTTTTGTACATTGACCTGTGTGATGTATTGAAATATACACTTCTTACATGCCTTTTTTACAAGTCTAGAGAACGGGAAGAGAGCGTCGGAAACACATTCTGAGTATGTTGTGAACACGTTGAGAAGACGTTGCGAAAATGTTTAGTACGTTTACTCAGGGTCGCAGGGACGGCAATACGAAGTAGGGACAACGTGGTGCGCACGTGATAAAAACGTTCAGAAACGTCGCAGAGACGTTGCCAAAGCGCTCTATACTCCTTGTAGTCACGTAGTGGAAACGTGGTGACAACGTTCCAGAAACACTGTTGGCACGTTACAGAAAACATTTCATAACGTTGGCGGGACGTTGTAAGAACGGTTTTGGGACGTCACTGCCACGTTACCGAAACGTTGTGATGACATTCAAATGCATGGTCGGATGACGTTGTCACGCCGTTGTCTGGAGTCTACAAAATTACGTTGTCACAACGATAAATCGGAACGTTGTGGTAACCATTTGACAACGTTTAAACGACGTTGTAACAACGGCAAATTGTTAGCTGGGTAGGTACAGAGCCTTGCTCATCACTAGGTTAGCATCACGTAAGAATCTTGAGCATCACTAGGGCCTCGTTTCATAAAGCGAGTCCGTAACTTACGCCGGTTTTTGGGCTTGTATTGCAAGTGCATGTGAAGCGATAAATTTATTTCCCATTCTCCCTTCTGTTCTTGCTTGCAAGATAATGCCCAAGAGCAAATAACGACATCGGTCGTTATTTTCCTCCTTTTCAGTGCCTCAGGCAGGTTGCCATTTTATTTCGCCTATACACCAAGGAAGACATGTCACATTCCACTTCGATGTTTCGAAGTACGGATGGATAAGAGATTAGAATCAGGAAAACAGAAGGAAAACAAACAGTTAGTCACCGATATGACCATGCCATGGCGTCTACTTGCTGACCGAAGTACTTACGATCAGAGAAGCGGCGAATGATAGGAAGCGATAAAGTAAAACGGCTGTTGCTTGTGCTTGAATGGTAGGATTAGACTGAAAACATTTCCAGACTCAGGAAATTGATTGACTCCCAGAAATCGTGGCGAGATCACGGTAAGTTAGGTATAGCTGGAAATTATTGGTCAGGTTAACTGCATGACACCGTATTGTTACTAAACACGAGTTTCTCTATAGAATGATGTCTATATTATAGGAATTAACTAATGTCTGAACCGGGACAGGTGGACAATAGGACCGACTCCCAAGGTAACAAAATTGACCTGACCTGAGGTCAACTAAGTAAAAAAATCTGAGACATACATTTCACTCATCACATCACTCTTATCAAACGCTGAAGTTTCGGAACAATCAGTGATAAACGGATTCACAACGAATCCTCCCTATGTAATACGAGAAGTGTAGCCTTTGCTCATATTAATGTTCAAATGATGCACAAAATTGGATATATTAAAATAATACTGATATATATCAGTATTATTTTAATATATCCAATTTTGTGCATTATTTGAACATTAATGTGAGCAAAGGCTACTACTTCTCGTATTACATAGTATATATAACGATGCTCATCACAGCCATCCATTTCATTTGCTCTCAAGACGAATCCTCCCTCCCAAAAAGCTCATTTTCTTAAAATATCTGTGAAGTCGTTTACTGCAATCAACAATAATCAAAATTGTTATCAGAAAAATAATCAAGGTAATAAACATTGCCAGGAAATCCAGCAATCACGCTACCTCCCTCCCTCTGTCCCCTGATGACGTCACAGTGACTCACCGCTCTCGCCGTCTCCCTCCTCTGCCTCCAGGGTGTTCGGGGCTGACCTCTGACCCGCTCCGCGCGCCGGACGCCGCACTCGAATGGACGCCCGTCGCCCGGCTGTCTGCTGTTCGCGCCTGCGCACTGCGCCTCGGCGCCGACCGAAGGATTGCCGGCAGCGGCGGCTCGCGGGCATACATCATACATGAGCCGCCGGCTGCGCCGTGCCACACGCACAGATCACGACGGCTGAACACGGGGGGGGGGGGGGGGGGTGACGGTCTGTTGGGGAGCTGAACGTTCACGCCCTCAGGATGTGGTAGACGCTGCGGGACGGCCAAATGCTGCTGTTTTCCAATGTCGTACATACACACGTGTGTCTACGTTTGAGGTAGGAGGCGTGGCTACGTCAAATTGTGCTCTTCCTACCAGGCTGTGACAGCATTGGTGTTGTAAAATGCACTGGTAATATTCGCACCACCCGCAGTACTGCATATCGCACGGCGAAGAAATGGAACCACACACAACACACAAACACACACACAGCTGTGTAGGACCCTATGTAGGACCTATGCAGCATGAAATGAGCTCAATCCAGACAGTGCACAAGGACCTCCCTAGGAAGCCCGTGATAAGTCACGTTCTCACAAAAGAGGTATGAAACTTCATTTATTTATTATCGAATACACCGCAACCAGGATAAAATAACTAGTCGGCTAAAAGCGCGGCGTAGGTCATGCGATACTGACGCTCCCGTCGCCGCCATAGCGCCATCTACATACGTTCGCCGGAACGGAGGCGCCCTGAGCTCGTCGTGGGCTGGACAGCAAAAGTAAGGCAGCAAGATCACTATTTACACGCGGGGCGTCTGGGAGGGACCGACTGCGGGCCGCCACTGACGACCAGATCTCACAGCCGGCAGAGGATACCACCGCACCGCCGGCTGCACAGCCATCTGCAAAGCATCGCCGCGGTCTGCACCTAGTCCACACATCGTCCCCATCCCATCCACATCCAGTCCACACCGCGTTCCACATCCCATCCACACGTGGCTCACACTGTAGGCCGCTCGTGCTCACTATCAGCACCAGTCCCCTCCCACCCGACCGCGCACCGTCCACATTCGGTTACTGTCACTGTCTCCCAAACTCGGTCCACTTCTAGTAGGGGTTAAACGTCTCCGGCCTAGTAGCGTAAAACGTAAAACCATAGTGTAATAAAAAACAAGTGAAGACACTTCACCAATTTATAATGCAAACTCATGTAACAACTTTTCTTCAGCTGGGAGTGGGCTATGTAGCTACTCACGCTGCAGTATGTCGTAATAAAACGTCATAAAACGTCACTTCCTAAATCATTGAACGCTATCCTCAGCCTTGCCTCAGCCTACATCATCGTCTTCCATGCCCCGCAATGATGGATTTTTTAATTGGCTTAGACATGAAAACCCACGTTTTTTATTCCATTAAATGAAGGTAAATAATCCCAGTTTCTTACAGAATGCCTTGGTACACACAAAATCAGAGGACATCGATGTGCCACAGCCCGATGAAGTCCTACGCGATCTAAGTGAGCTCCAACATGTTGAACATCGTATCAGCATTCACTCTACTCCCTAACGTTTCTCTCGAGAACCCACTGTTTTTATTGCATGTATGGTCGCTTACTGAATGCAATGTGACAGAACCGGTAGGAAAATATTCAAAAACAGAGGACATCATAAGACCACCGGCTACTAAGTGTATGGTATTTTGACAACGTCCCTAAAACATGACCCATTTTGATCGAACCTTTGATTAACATAGACTCGAGAACCCATGTTTTTATTGCATTTAATGAAAGAAAATTTTATTACACTACGGTAAAACGTATCGCCTCCGGCCTTCCCGGCTCGGCGCGATCATACAGACTCGGTGCGGCGCCCGCCGCCGCCGCCGCCGCCAGGGCCACCTCACTGATCGCGGTAGCTGCTGGCGCGGGACGAGTTGCGAGCCCAGTTCGGGGTGCGTGGCGCCGTGAGCGGTGCGTCCGACGGCTGCACGTGTACAGGACGGTAGCGGCGGATCGGCTGCGCGTGGTGGACGGCCTCGCGCCGCTGGCGGGCCACCTCTTCTTCTTCTTCACGCTGCCGCTGCCGCTCCGCCTGCCGAGAGCGGAAGAAGGCGGGGTGTTAGAGGTGAACGGGGGTGGGACTAGGGAGAGGGGACTGAAAAAGGCGCGGAAGTAATGGTGAGGGGTGAGTGATCAGCGGCGTGGCCCTGACCGAAAACGGCACCAAATCAAGCAATATCACTCGTCTAACTACGTGCTCACCTGGATAATGCAGACTACTAGGTCTCAGGAAGGTGTGCTTAGTTAAGATGCAAAGTTACACCCAACGCACCATCCTATCGCCATATCAAATCATTAACCACTGGTCCTTACGCAGCACCTAGCAAGCATTAACTATTAACTAAGTACATACTCTACCACTAGACGACAGCCCCAATTATCAGCTCTCACACCCTGCACTCCCTATCTCCCTCCCTCTCCATCCGGCCGCTCTCCTCACCTCCTGCTGGGCGGCCAGCAGCTCTGCCTCGCGCTGTTTCTGGCGCTCCTCGAAGCTCTGTCGGCGCGCTGAGCGCTGGTCCGTGTGCAGCAGGGGAGTGCGCGGCGCGGTCGGTCCGCGAGCCGAGCGCTGCGGCTGGTACGGGTCGCGGCGCGTCACAGTGCACGGCTGAGCGTGGAACTCGGCCGCGGCACGGGCGGCCGCCGCCTCCTCCTCCAGCTGTCGGAAAACAGGGGACGGTTAGCCGAGAAACGGGAGACATGACTGTAACGTTGAGGGGAAGATGGACATTTACGGGTGGCGGCGAAAGCAGAAGAATTAGACGATCAGTTGAATAGAGAAAACAAAATACAAAAAAAAAAAAAAAAAAAAACAGTGAAACCCATCGAAGACAGAAACGACTCTCATTAGTCAACATCCAATAGCTAGCCACCAGTATAACGTCTTTTGGGGCGATTAACGGAGCGAGCGAGAGGGTGGGCCTTGCACGTGCGAAATTGCGAGGGGGTACCTCCAACTGACTTGTGCACGGCACCTTACTAACCGGTCTCTAGCGATGTGCCAAATTTGAGCACAATCGGCCCAGCCGTTCTCGAGATCTGGGAGCGGCACCCTGCACGTGCGCACGTGCAAAATGGGTCCCAGCTGACTTGTGCACGGCGCCCTACTAACTGGTCCCTAACCGTGTACCAAATTTGAGCGCCATCGGTCCAGCCGTTCTCGAGATCTGGAAACGACCCCTGCACGTGCGCACGTGCAGCAGCACCCCAACTCTGGCACATGGATATGCAGTGCCTAGTGGGTGCCTACCTACATGCCAACTTTCAGCGCAATCGGCCAAGTAGTTACCGAGATATTGCAACAATTACAAAACTGACACCTCTTCGTTTTGCACGTGGCACGTGCATAAGGGGTCACTCACATGCATCGGGAATAGTCCAATACTTGGTAGAAGGAATGAACCTACCCTACAAAAATTACCGCGAGTAAATCGGTCAAGTGGTTGCTGAGATATAAGCCTCGCAAAAGCGTCCGCACGGCCGGCCGCTCATACTCAGAAATTTCCGTTAATCTAAGGAAAGATTCCGCTCGCTTCGCTCGCTCCTTAACACCAGTATAACGCCTTTTGGGGCGACTAACGGAGCGAGCGAGAGGGTGAGCCTTGCACGTGCGAAATTTCGAGGGGGTACCTCCAACTGACTTGTGCACGGCACCCTACTAACCGGTCTCTAGCGATGTGCCAAATTTGAGCGCAATCGGTCGAGCCGTTCTTGAGATCTGGAAACGACCCCTGCACGTGCGCACGTGCAGCAGCACCCCAACTCTGGCACATGGATATGCAGTGCCTAGTGGGTGCCTACCTACATGCCAACTTTCAGCGCAATCGGCCAAGTAGTTACCGAGATATTGCAACAATTACAAAACTGACACCTCTTCGTTTTGCATGTGGCACGTGCATAAGGGGTCACCCACATGCATCGGGAATAGTCCAATACTTGGTAGAAGGAATGAAGCTACCCTACAAAAATTACCGCGTGTAAATCGGTCAAGTGGTTGCTGAGATACAAGCCTCGCAAAAGCGTCCGCACGGCCGGCCGCTCATACTCAGAAATTTCCGTTAATCTAAGGAAAGACTACGCTCGCTTCGCTCGCTCCGTAAACAGCAAAATCAGCATGTACTTCATTCACTTCAGGATCAGCCTGACGACTCAGGGTATTGATAGCCCCGATCTATGATTGATGTCCCCGATCTATGGTGGATAACTCCACGACATAAAGAACAATACAGCAGCACACCATCCCCATGAGTCCCTTCTACGGTACCTTTTTCTGGCGCCGCGCGGCGGCGGCGGCCGCCTGCTGGTCACCCGGCAGCTGGAACGGCTCCGGACGGGTGGTGGTCGGCGTGCGACGCTGGGGCACGCCGCGCGGGGAGGACGGCGGCAGTAGCTGCGCGCGGAACTCGCGCTGACGACGCTCCTCCTCCAGCACCTGTGAGCGGATGGGAGGGCTGAGTGCTAGTGGTATACAGAGACTGCAGTAAACACCCATCGATACACCACAGAGACAAAGTTTCAAACATTTACGGCGAATAAACACTGGGAATTCGCTTTAGACCACAATAAATTCGAGCTCATCGTAGAACTGTCAAACAGGTAGTCACCGATGAAACTACACGCTATTCAGCCTAAAGGCCGGAACACAGCACTCGCTTGCAAATCGCGTCGAACTCGCGTCAAGCGCGGAAATCGCTTCGTTCGCTGTGTTTTCACTTGCAATTCAGCTCACAACTCGCGTCGAAAACGCGTCCCGCTTGGAAAACGCTTTGCGCTCCCAACTCGCGGCTGAAACGCGTTGATTATTGATTACACTTGACCTTTGCACGTGACATCTTAGCATATCCATGCGTCTGTTTCATGATAAAATTTTATGCGGCGTTCTTTCGATGAATTTTTTTTTAGCTTTGGTATTTTAAATGACGTTCTCCTCGATCATTGATTAAAATCAGCACAGGTTAAATGTTACTTTCTTTTGTAGGAAATTCCTTAAAAACAGTTGATGCCATGCCACACAGGTAGTTCATCATGCCACATTGGAACTTAACTATAATTTGTTCAGTCAATTTTAGTATTTTAGTCAGTATTTGTTTGCCACGTATCATGGTCACAATCGGTTATTCAGAAGTTTTCCAAACGAATACATCACCGCTCTTGCAAATCTAAAAACTGTTATCGTTCAATCTAATCTAGCAATTCATTCAATCTAATAATCCAACGATTACCATCCGTAAGTAAACTACATGTCTCTCCTTTTGCGTTATGCAAATCACAGGACACTGGCGGATCCAGCTCAGAGTTTTGGGAGCGGCAAACCATAACAGTTAGCGTTTCTTTCCATGCACCGTCTATAGGCGTAATGTTAAAATTTTGCCGTTTGGGAGGGGCAAATGCCCTATTTGCTCTCCCCTGGATCCGCCACTGTCACAGGATATACTTAATCCTCGCCCGCACATGCCATTTTCCCATCCTAGAACGCACATGGGGGGGGGGGGGGGTGCCATCCTCCCGCGCCATTTCGTTCCTGTTGGAGATAAAGCTTCGCGGTAGAGACCAAAAAGATTCTTTGGGAAGAGACAAATTCAATGATACCCAGTTTTACCTTATCCCTCGCCGGCACAGGGGGGGGGGGGGTTGATGCAACCCCCCTAAGGTTTTTCGCGAATAACTCGCGTAAAAAGCGGCCGATCGCGACGAAACTTTCAGTACCCTCGCATTGCTCAATTTTATGACCCTGACCCAAATGACCTTTGACCTGTGACCTCTTTTCCGAGACCATGTTTGGCCGGAATCGCGATTCGGCGTATGTCGGCTCGCATTAGCCGCGCGTTTGCAAGCTTTTCGTGGTTTCAAACGTTCCAACATGTGATTTGATGTTGCTCCCATACATTAGGGTGGGTGTCAAGGTCACCTGAAGGTCAGGTCAGGTCATTGACCTTTGGTGACCTCTGGTGACCTCGTTTCACTTTTTGAGTTTTACATGTTTCTAGGCTAGTTTTTGGAGCTGAATTCGAATTTAGCAACCATTTGAACATTTACGAAGTAGTTTTGGTGCCTTCGTAACATGTTACGAAGCTGTCAGAGGCGGTTGACACCTATTACGAATACCCGTCACAACCCCTACCGGTTGACCTGACCTGACCTGACCCGACCTGGTCTAAATGCCTAAAGACATCATCTCTGATCAAAACTAACACGATATTCGTGATCAGCACCCCGGAAAACCACATAGAAGCCACACTTTACGACTTTCTAACAGGTCACGATTTTCCCGGTTTTCGGGTCATTGACCTGACCTGGAAGGTCACCCGATGACCTAGGACCTTAAGATTGGGTATCATCGGCTTCCTCTCGTGACGGGCAACACGCTCGTTTTTTCTGCGAAGCTCTAGCTCGATCAGGGGCCAAACGCGAGGGGGGTCGTACCACCCCCCCCCCCCCCTTGTGCCGTCGAAGGACGCAAAATGGCCTGTGCCGGCGAGGGTTATCAGGTCAGTCATTGACCTTCCAAGTCAGGTCAAACTAAAAAATGTTGCTGTTTTGGGTCACCGTTGGATATCAAGTGCGCTGCTCATCATATAGGTACCGATGACGATGCTGTTTTGTGGTGCCAAGCCAGCTAGGACCTCTTTGTCACACTATCCGACTAGGTTTTTGCTGCTGAGGTCATTTCAGGTCAAGTTAGGTCAAGGTCAATGATATGTGTTTGCATGTCTGTGAGTGTATGTGTGTGTACTGATGTGTGCACCGATTGTTTATGTGTCCATATTACATGAAATCATGAAATGAGAAGGTTTTACCAAAAATACAGTCAAAGAAACTTCACGAAAAGTAAATTCAGCTTGCCTAAATCGCAATGATTTTAGATGACATAGGTTGACCTTGACCCTGACCTTGACATCTGTACATCGTCGAACAACATGTTCCATGATAGGTGGAAGGTAAGACTGGCAAAAAAAGGCTGAAATCAAGGTGTCAAAAGCTGACAAGACCCATAGCCAACGCAAGATATTAGGTATTTGTCATTTGGGTCATGACATGACCTGAAGAACAAGGTCATATCTCCGAAACCAAAAACCACAGAAGCTTAACATTTTTCAGTGGACATCAAGAAAGGATAGAGGAGCAGCTATACGAAACCAGGCTTCTAGCTCTAAAAATGTTGAGTGCAGAGCAGAAAAACTACCTGGGGGGGGGGAGGATGACAACCTCCTCCTCCCCCGATGTGCGGGCGAGGGTTAACAATAACATGACATTGCAGTCTTATTTAACCCGCGCCCCTGTTTAACCCGCGCCCCCGCTGTAGCTCGAAATTGGCGACAATACTTCTGCACTCTCTCAAGGCTGGCAGGTGTAGCATTCATTTTACTTTCTTAAACAGCAAGCTGAAAATGATAGAGCAACTACTTATGCTTGAATTTTGTCGTTCTACAAAGGTCTGCAAAGTGGCTAAGTTGCCCCGCTAGCAGGGTTATTTTGCCGGTGGGGTAGAGCAATTTGGCCGGTGTTAATTTGAGGCCTGGATTTTATGTTACGGGCAAGTCAGCTTCAGCGCCATCAATGACATGTGTCCTTAACGCATTTTTAGGCTGACTCGATGTCGGACTTATCTTCGAATGATTTTGACTCAGGTCTTATTTCAGCATTTTCCTGCACAACTGAAAATGCGCTTCCTTAGCATACACTGCTAAATCAAACATTTGCATTTTATTTGTGGTGAAAAAAAAACGTTAACTGTTTATTCTAGTCAGGAAATAATCGACTAATTTCAATTAAAAAATTCTTAGCAATCAAAGAAACTACTCAGCTCAGTCTCAAATCCTCATATCTCATAAGCCTCCGATGTCTGCAAACGAGTTGTTAATAGTGTTTACTAGCTGGAGATGTGACTATCAGTTTGGTTTGAGCAGAGGCCTAGCAACTTCGTCGTGCTGCTTTGAGCTGCGTCTTGATGAGCGCCTAGGAGACAGACTGTGCCGCCATGCCACCGCCAACGGCTATAAACCCAACCAGCTCGGTACGACGACCTTATCATTACATAAGTGGCGGAACCGGGAACGGGGGGGGGGGGCACCGGCCCCCCTTGATTTTGTCATTGTAACATAAGCCCTATGGGTGTTGCATGGAAAGAATGGGCAGTGCCCCCCTTAACCCGCGAGTTGCTGGGGGGGGGTGTTAAACGCCCCCACTTTTTTCGCCGGGCCATAGCATAAAAACGGCGCGCCGCAGGCGCGCCAAATTTTGGGTACCTGTAGGAAATTGATTGAAGTGTATTGTGACAAAGTTTCAAAAAAATCGGTCGGAAAATTTTTGAGATATCGAGGTTTTAGTGACGTCATGATTTCTGAGTTTTCGACCAAAAACGGCATATATTTAAAAAAATCATATAAAATCACAGAATAGACATACAGACATGCGGTAAACGCCATTAGACTGCCAATACCATGAACAATCAGATGGCTATCTTCGATTATTGATTATCGTTCCGCATTTTCCAAAATCTTGAACTGAATCTTGGCAATTTCTCGTGACTACTTCACGACCATGATACATGCATTTCTTTAATTGAACTTTTTGAGCCAAACACGTACACATATGATAAAATGAATGTCACCATCGTGTTCTACGCCCAAAATTACCTATAAAACATGTGTCACAGGCTGCGAATATCAGTTTTGATTTTCGGGGATATGTGCCTACCCGGTTGACCTGACCTTGACCCTGACCTATGCTTGACTGACCCCTACATGGAGCTGGCACTCTTGTAGGCCTTATATGATGGATTGTGCACCGTTTTGACAGAGTTTATGACGAGAGGCGCCCATTGCGAAGTCCTGAAGTTCATGCTACTGAAAGCCCGATTTCAGGTGTTTGACCTGACCTTGACCCGACCTGTGACCTCAAAATCAACTTTTAAGTACCCATCTGAAGCGTCTCGTCGCGTTCTTTCGTTTGCCGCCTCGTGCATTTCGCTGCGCCTATTGGTTCTCGAGTTATCGGCTGGGGGCGTTTAACGCCCCCCCGCCCCCAGCAAACGGTGGGTGGCGAAATACCCCAGCAACTGCCGGGTTAATTGAAGGTGTTTCGCCGCTACTGCTTATCAAGTCGGCCGTTCCAGCATAGCGATCCTGAGAGCACCGTCAAAGCTGTTCCACTAGCACCGGCAAAATTACCCCGCATTGCCATTCTGAAAAGTTTTGTCTACAAAGTCGTTTGGTTTTACGGAAATAGATGAAATTACTCTTGAAACGCTGAACATCTAAGCAATGGGACCACAATGTCAAAAATTGTCTACAGCCCGATTTTTACATGCCAGGCATATAATTTTTCGAACGGAAGTAAAAGTTACAATTTTCTAATCAAATTTTTGTTTACTGATTTTGAAGAAAATTACGAAGGGGAGGTTTTTGAAGAAAAAAAATCCACGGATTCCTCATTTTATGCATTGACCGCAGTACAAGATACTTGTTAAGATTTCTTTAAACATCGAAACATAAAAATTAAACAATTTAATACATTTTACCATAGACCTCTGTACACCAGAGGTACTATGAGGTCTATGATTAGGTGTACAGAGGTCTATGATTTTACGTATAAAATTGTCAATCAAATGAATACCGATGTGCTGAAAGCAGGAGACCACGCCGGTATTTAGTTAAAATTGCCGTAAGCCAAGGTGCTTTATTTGGTTTCCATGGTTACTGACGCTATTACGCTTGCATTTCGCGAGCAGAGAAGCTGAAAAGTTGAAACAGATTCAACTTTTCAGCTTGCAACCCGCGCCGGACTGATTTTGCTTGCGTTTCGCTCGCGTTTCGCTCGCGTTTTCCGAGCGGGATCCGGCGTGATTTCGCGGCGTAAAAGCGAGACGACCTGCGTGTTGGGAGCTGAAAATATGCCATGTATTGCAATGGGGGAAGCGAGACGCGATTTGCGAGCTTAAAAGCTGTGTTCCGGCCTTAAGCGATCATTCATCAATGGGCGGAAAAGTAAAACTGGGATATGGTTGCTTGCTCACCAGTCACCAGGCTAACTTCACCTCCCTCCACCATCCACCCCACTAAGGATCCCAGCCTCCACACCCGTCCAGCCCATGACCCTCCCCACCCCCCTTTCCTCGGCTCGCACCTCCTGAATTTTCCTCTCCTTCTCTGCCTGGCGCTGCTTGTCGCGCTCCTCGAAGCTGAAGGGCGCCGGACGGGTGGTGCGGTGCTCCACATTCGGCCGGAACGGAACGCCCGCGTCCGGGATGGGGTTGGCGCGCACCACCCCTCCCGACTGCTGCTGCTCCTGTGATGGGCAGGAGGCGGTCAGCGGGGGGCGGGAAACGGGTCCATTGCGAGGTTCGTGCCAGTCGAGGGGCATACTGTCCAGTTTCCACGTAAGAGTGAGATCTTTAAACGGAAGACAGCAAATCAACAAAAAAATTCGTTTCACAAGGATAGATCTTCAGGCATGCCGGTGCTTCGTGCAAAATTGATGGCTGGTGCGTTTAGAGCACAAATAATTCATCGGACTAAACCTCGAATCTAGCGCGCTCTTTATTCTCCTACGGCGTAAAACACCAGCCGAATGACTGAATCGAACTAAAAAACGGTCACACATTCGCATCATGACCACGACAACTAAACAGTATTCGTCCTTATATCAAACCTACATCAACAAATATTTGGCCGTGCTTGCCAAAGCTCTCCTTGCCTCACCCATCACCAGCATGCTCACCTTGGGATCTTGGGCTGCGCGCACCTCTGACCTCGCACCCGTTCCTCACCTTCTCCTTATTTACCTGCACCTCCTTCCTGCGCTCTGCCATGCGCTGTTTGAGCTGCAGCGCCGGCGACTGCGGCTTGGTGGCCGGCGCCGCCTGGCGAGCGGGCACCCCCTGCGGCGCGCTGAGGATGGCGCGCGGCGCCGGCTGGGCGCGGAACTCGGACACTGCAGAGCCCGCCGTCTCGTCCGCGGCCGACTGCCGGCCGACGTCAGAACGGGGTTAATGTTACACTGATACACGATACAGACCACAAACGAAAACAAAAAATGGACAGCGAGAACTTTACGGCATTAAACTGCGTCGTGCTTGGCACATAAGGGTGTAAAACCATGAAGCTCATACACATATGAGTTATATGACCCATTGGCCCCGTTCATTGGACCCATCACTCACTTCTCCTATGAGCCCCCACCGACAGGCCACAGCCCTCCTGTGTCGCCCGGCAGCCGTGCCCTCGCGATACGCACCTGGGTCCTCGGAGCCGGCTGCGTCAGGTGGAAGGGCTCGACGGCGGTGGTCGGCCGAGCCTGCTTGGCGGGCACTCCGACCTTCTGCTCCAGAACGCGCCGGTTCACCGGACGGGCGCGGACCTGGTGCCTGGGAGGGGAGAGGGGTGTCATGGGTTAGAAAGGCACGATGGAGGGCGAATGGAGGCGACAGTAGACTATGAGAACGAAAATGGAGCGACATGCATTTTTTCAGATGCAAAGACAAATAACACTGTAAAATATTGCACCATTATGCAGACACTCTGATCACACTCATGAGAGCAACTACATTTTAGCTCCACTCAAAACCCACCATTCTTTATCATATTTGGTCACCCAACGCCAGACCTAGGCACCCTGCTCGCTCTCCGCTCCTGGCCACCGCGCACTCACTGTCTGGCCTCCTCGAGTTCTGCCAGCTCCTGCTGCTCGCGGCTGGGGATGTTGTTGGTGGAGCGGGACCGCGCACGGGTCATCAGCGGCGGGGTGCGGCCGATGGTCACGTGAGAGGGGGCGGGGTCCGCAGAGCCCGACGGACGGTCACCTGGGAATGGGCAGGCGGCCGTCAAAGAGGCCAGCGCCAACAAGACTAGGCAACAACTAAAAAAATCAATATTATTTGATACCATTTCACGAGAGCACATATACGAGTATGACGGTCAGCTGATGCCAACGGGAAGACAATGTCCAATTAACATCAAACTCAGCATTGCGGCAGCCGGGAGCTGACAAACGACATTGCAGGACAATAATCGAACTCAATCATCAACAGACTGCTAATTTCTACCCCTGGCAGCCCCAGTGCCCACTCATTCCCGGCAATCCCTCCCCGTCCCCTCTTCGACACTGACCGGCAGGCCGTGAGTGGAAGCGCGGCGGCGTCCTGCGCTGGAACCCCTCGATGAGCTGAGCCGTGGACCGGAACTCTGTGACGGGCCGGCCGCCGACCGGCCCGGCGGCGCTCCGCTCGTCGTGCAGGTGGAACGGCTGGGGTCGGGTGGGCGGCTTCACGGCCGCCACCCGGGGACGCACCGGCTGAGCAGGGAAGACGGGACGTCAGGGTGGGCTGATCCAGCGGGACGACTGACCAATCCGCCTTCTGAATTTACACCTCAAGAGCGGATATGACGTAGCGAAACATACATAAGCCTTCATGCTCACATTCGTTCACTCATTTTGCAATCAACACTCCACTGCCATCAGAGGATTATTATTGTAAGTATCCTTGTGACCAGCGGGCTCTGCAGCACCTACCTGTTTGGCCTCGGCCGCCTTTTTCTTGTAGTCTGCCATTTGCCGACGGAGTGAGTCAAGCCGTGCCTGCTGCTCGTCTTTGACGGCCTTCTCGGCGGCGGCGCGAGCGGCCGAACGCAGCTGCAGGCCACGCCTGAGGTGAGGAGAAACAACGAGCGGTCAGAGCCGCTACAGACGAGCTTCAACTGACTCCAGCCGCGGTTATAGCGACACAACACTCGAGGGCACGGATATGACACAGCCCATCATGAGAGGTACGAAAATCATGATGTTTTATGACACAAAATCGTAAAATGAGGAGAATTATGATCGATAAACAGTTAATACTCCGCACAATGATCGAGTATCGCGGTCGGGGACGACCAGCAAAAGAGAGGCATTCCTTCGGAGCACCATACTGACCTCAGCACATTGGGCGTCTCGGCCACCACGAGGTTAGGCGGCCCGCCGCCAGCAGCCATCCGGGCGGCGTCGTTCTGACTGAGACTGCGTCGCCGAGAGGTGGAGGAGGGGGCGCGTCGGGACGCGGCAGCGCCAGTAGAGGGCGTCCTCCGCGTCGCTGCCGGCTGTCCGGTGGCGGGCGTGCGGCGGCTCGTGGCTGGCGCCGGCGAGCTGGCCGGCGTGCGGCGCCGCCCGCCCGCGATGGGCGTGGGTCGTCGCGGCGGCACCAGCGGCGTGGGCGCAGCCACGCGCTGCCGGCCAGAGGCGCGGACCGCCGGCGGCGGCGGCTCGGGGGTCGGTGCGCGGCGCGCCGCCAGCCGCGGCGAGGCGCGGGTTGGCGCCGTGTCGACGCTGCGTCCGCGGCCGCGCGACGACGGCAGCCGGGAGCGGGGCCGGACGGTCGGCGTCGAGTCCTTACCCTCGGGCATGGCCCGGTGCTCGGTGGCCGGCGGCGAGCGAGGCTCCGACTGGGGACGCGACTGTGACGGAAAACGGCGGATATCAGTCGGAAAACATACACTAGGGACAACGAATCACTCAAAATTCGGCGCCAATGAAACTCGATGCCGCGTAACAATTACAGACTGTTGAATCCTCCAAACATCACCCAAGTCCTAATAGGTAAATTTTCAATGCTTTCTATCATGCCGGTGTGCCATAAAGTTCAGCATTATCAGTTCACACTTAAATGATGAAAAATGGTTCTCCCGATATAACGCACTTTAAATACTGGATACAGTATTCCGACCCCCCCCCCCCCCACACACACACACTCGGACCGTACCCCTCCGTCCACCCACCTGTTTGGCGCACGGTTCCTCCACCGTGGGCTCGTCTTGCGAGTCGACGGTGGCAGCGCGCTTCAGCGGCGCCCTGGTCCGCGGCCCCGGCGAGTTGGTCACGTCCCGCAGACCGGCCGGCCGAGTCTGACCGGCACCGGAGCGGACCAGCGTCTGCACGCCCATCACCAGGTTCTTGGGCACTGCGGAGGGAACGGGAGTCCGCCAGTGACAGACGATGTAGGACGGTCCGGCACATGGACAGAGTGTGAGCGCTGAGCCTTCGCGAGAGAGCAGTCTGAAGAACGACGTCAGCCAGGCATCTTGATGATTGACAAAAAAGTTTGGTACACAATGAGCCAAGCGTATCGTGCAGATCAAGCGATAAGACACAACCAGTCACCCGTAGGTATAACTAACAGGCAGTGTGACTACGAACTACTGGATACAACCTAATCTAAAACCTACATACAGGGTGTCCCATAAGTTCGTTCTCACCTAAATTTTACGTTTAGAGGCTCTCTTGCTTAACCCGCGCGGGGCTGGGGTCTCCAGCCGAACGCGCGGGGCTGGGGGGGGGGGGGTAAATTTTACCCCCCCCCCCCTGTTATCTCCCGAACTAATGGTCCGATTTGGAAAATTCAAACGCCAATCGAAAAATCTCATCACGAACAACTAAAAACATGTACTTAATTTAAAGTTTGAGGTCAAGGTCAAGGTCAGGTCAAGGGTACAAATTGCAAGTTCCTACAGTATCGGCCTTGCACCGTAGTTGCCGAAGAATGGAGTCATGGAGTGAGACTGATTGCCCAAAACGTGTTCTTAGGCTACCAAGACAATATTCGTTGCATACAATATCATTCAGAGGTCAAGATCAAGGTCAGGTCAGGTCAGGTCACCAAAAACAAAATATAGAAAAGGGCATGTGCGACACATGTTTTATGGGTGATTTTACTCATAGAATTCAATAGGCACACTCAATAAGTGATATGGACCACCTCTGGATGAATTTCAGGTCGAGGTCAGGTCAAGGTCAGGTCAAGTGAGGTCAATTTTTAAAGTTGGTTGTTAAGGCCTAAAAAGGTGTCTATCTGATGCAGTTTTTCATGGCGAATCGAATGGTGCTATTTTTGTTTCCGTACGAGGTCTAGAACTTCCAAAAAAATCATTTTTCGAATTTTGTGTGTGTCGTGACGTCAAAAAATGTTTAATAACTCCCACATTTTTGAACCGATTCTTCTAAAAATTGGTATGTAGGTGCACATAGACCACTTCTATGACATATATTCCGGTTTTTTCGATACACTCAAAATTTTGGATTTCATAATTATTTTCCCAAAAAAGTCAGTTTTTTGGAAAAATTTGGGCCAAAATCCAAAATTTTCAAAAAACCGAGATAGCCATTTGATAGACAAAGTAGAATTACGTATAACCTTTTTTGTTACGCCTTGATTCCTTTTAAAATGAAGTTGTTAGCGGCGTTTGAAATTTTGCCGTTTTTGAGGCGAAAATGGCGAACATGACGTCACTAAAACGTCAATTTCTCAAAAATTTTCCGACGGATTTCGCTCAAATTTTCAGAGAACGTGTCAAATTGATGTCAGAAAAGGTACTGAAAGTTTGGCGGCGCTGCGCGCCGCCGTTTTTGAGATATTGCAAAAGTTCGCGAGGGGGGGTAAAATTTACCCCCCCAGCCCCGCGCGGGTTAACCCGCGCCCTGGTGGGGTCTGTTTATAACGCGACGTCACGTGACCTTAGGTCCTTAGATCACGTGACCTAAGGTCAACTTTTGACCTTTCAACCTTTCGAGGTCAACATACATATGTTTCGATGCGGATCGACGAGGGGATCACGATGGTGCTATTAGTTTGTTCCTAGCTGGGATACCTTGAAAGTTATTCGAGAAAAACTTCATATATATATATGTAGTGCCGCTATTTTGACTTCCTTTTTGCTCCTGTGACGTCATCTTTGACCTGACCTGAAAATGACCTCAGTAAAAATTATAGACCTTATCCGTGTGTACCCTGTACCGTTTACCGCTTGTCGCTATCTTGCTTTGTTCTCGAGATCTCGCTGTCGCTCCCGCTCGTAATAATGGACAGGTCATAAAAATGACCTGACCTGAGGTCAACGCAGGGCGATAACCACTTTTTTATTATCGCATATGAATGACAATTGATAAGGCTTTAATCGTCATCAGACAAAATTCCAACTTTCAGTGGGTAAAATATCAAGGTCACTCTTCGAAAAATAGGTCAAAAGGTCACGTGATCAAAATTTTCAAAAATTGAAAATCCGAGATAGCCAAAATGTTTGTTGGTTGATTGTGAGTTGAAACATATCAAGTTTTTACCGTAGAAAACCAATAGTTTCTGAGTTATAGGCCGCCAAACATAGGGCTGCAGCGCGACCTCCAGGAATTGCCCGAGGCTATATCTCGGAAACCGTTGTTCGAAGAAAAAATCCTTGCCACAGCTGGCTTCTCCGCCCATCACAACCCATTAGACCAATTTTAAGCAAAAAATAAAATATGAGGGTGCAGGGCACTTGTCGATTTGTCGTGGAACGCCCCAGATGCACCTTGATGCAAAACACTACCAAACTTTATGAGCTCGGCCACTGGGACCGTCAATATACAACTGACTGAAATGCATGAAAACTATTTTGCATTTCACAGCCGTTTTCTGCACCTTAACTTTAGCCAGCGACGCCCTATCCATTCTACAGCGTTTATAAGATTGGTCCCAACTCCCAGCACCCGAGTTCCATGGGCGTAGGAACCTCACGAAAAGTGTGTGTGTGTGGGGGGGGGGGGGGGGCAGCGAAACTTCAATGTCACTTTGTGGGAGCCCCAACACCCCTATGAAGAAGTTATTACGAGCGAGCGAGCGCAGCGAGCGAAGCGAAGTCTTTTCAATATAACGGAAAAATGTCAGTATGAGCGGCCCGGCCCGGCCCGGCCTGTAACGCTTTTGAGAGGCTTATATCTCAGCAACCGCTCGACCGATTGGCGTGCGGTCTTTTTTGCTGGGTAGCCCCATCCCTTCTACCCCGTAATTGACTACTTTTGACACATCTCAGTGACCGTTGTGGCACGTGCCACGTGAAAAGTCAAGGGTGTTCAAGCTGTTTTGCAAAAATAGTGATTTTGAGAGGCTCATATCTCAGCAGCCGCTTGGGCGATTGTCTTGCGGTAATTTTTGTAGGGTAGCTGCATCCCTTCTACCAAAGGTCGGATACTTTTTATCTATGGGAGTGACTCCCACTGCAAGTGCAAAATACAAAAAGAAGAGGTGCCAAATTTGTTCCCATTTCAGTAACTCGGTAATTACTGGGGCGATTTCGCTGAAACTTGGCATACAGGTAAACACCCACCAGGCAATGCATTCCCATGTGTTGCGGTTAGGGTGCTACTGCACGTGCGCACGTGCAGGGGTCACTTCCAGATCTCGAGAACGGCTGGGCCGATTGCGCTCAAATTTGGTACACGGTTGGGGACCGGTTAGTAGGGTGCCGTGCAAAAGTCAGTTTGGACCCCGTTTGCACGTGCGCACGTGCAGAATGCCGCTTCCAGATCTCAGGAACGGCTGGGCCGATTGCGTTCAAATTTGGCACACCGCTAGCGACCGGTTAGAAGGGTGCTTTGCACAAGCCCGTTGGAAGTACCCTCTCGCCCTTCCGCACGTGCAGGGCTCACTATCTCGCTCGCTCGTTCTTCGCCCAAAAGGCGTTTTACTGGTTACGAGCGAGCGAGCGCAGCGAGCGAAGCGAAGTCTTTTCAATATAACGGAAAAATCTCAGTATGAGCGGCCCGGCCCGGCCCGGCCTGTAACGCTTTTGAGAGGCTTATATCTCAGCAACCGCTGGACCGATTGGCCTGCGGTCTTTTTTGCTGGGTAGCCCCATCCCTTCTACCCCGTAATTGACTACTTCTGATGCATCTCAGTGACCGTCGTGGCACGTGCCACGTGAAAAGTCAAGGGTGTTCAAGCTGTTTTGCAAAAGTAGTGATTTTGACAGGCTCATATCTCAGCAGCCGCTTGGGCGATTGTCTTGCGGTAATTTGTATAGGGTAGCTGCATCCCTTCTACCAAAAATAGGACACTCTCGATGCATGTGGGTCACCCCCAGTGCACGTGCAAAATACAACAATAAGAGGTGTCAAATTTGTTCCCATTTTAATAACTCGGTAACTACTGGGGCGATTTCGCTGAAACTTGGCATACAGGTAGGCACCCACCAGGCAATGCATTCCCATGTGTTGCGGTTAGGGTGCTACTGCACGTGCGCACGTGCAGGGGGCGTTTCCAGATCTTGAGAACGGCTGGGCCGATTGCGCTCAAATTTGGTACACGGTTGGGGATCAGTTAGTAGGGTGCCGTGCAAAAGTCAGTTTGGGTCCCGTTTGCACGTGCGCACGTGCAGGATGCCGCTTCCAGATCTCAGGAACGGCTGGGCCGATTGCGTTCAAATTTGGCACACCGCTAGCGACCGGTTAGAAGGGTGCTTTGCACAAGCCCGTTGGAAGTACCCTCTCGCCCTTCCGCACGTGCAGGGCTCACTATCTCGCTCGCTCGTTCTTCGCCCAAAAGGCGTTTTACTGGTCAATATAACGGAAAAATATCAGTATGAGCGGCCCGGCCCGGCCTGTAACGCTTTTGAGAGGCTTATATCTCAGCAACCGCTGGACCGAATGGCCTGCGGTCTTTTTTGCTGGGTAGCCCCATCCCTTCTACCCCGTAATTAACTACTTTTGATACATCTCAGTGACCGTCGTGGCACGTGCCACGTGAAAAGTCAAGGGTGTTCAAGCAGTTTTGCAGAAGTAATGATTTTGAGAGGCCCATATCTCAGCAGCGGCTTGAGCGATTGTCTTGCGGTAATTTTTATAGGGTAGCTGCATCCCTTCTTCCAAAGGTCGGATACTCTTGATCTATGTGAGTGACCCCACTGCACGTGCAAAATACAAAAAGAAGAGGTGCCAAATTTGTTCCCATTTCAGTAACTCGGTAATTACTGGGGCGATTTCGCTGAAACTTTGCAACAAGGTAGGCACCCACCAGGCAATGCATTCCCATGTGTTGCGGTTAGGGTGCTACTGCACGTGCGCACGTGCAGGGGGCGTTTCCAGATCTCGAGAACGGCTGGGCCGATTGCGCTCAAATTTGGTACACGGTTGGGGACCGGTTAGTAGGGTGCCGTGCAAAAGTCGGTTTGGACCCCGTTTGCACGCGCGCACGTGCAGAATGCCGCTTCCAGATCTCAGGAACGGCTGGGCCGATTACGTTCAAACTTGGCACACCGCTAGCGACCGGTTAGAAGGGTGCTTTGCACAAGCCCGTTGTAAGTACCCTCTCGCCCTTCCGCACGTGCAGGGCTCACTATCTCGCTCGCTCGTTCTTCGCCCAAAAGGCGTTTTACTGGTTTGTAGTTTTGTGCTCATCTCATCTTGCTGAGTCATTTCCCGCTCTTAGTTTTGTATTTAAATAAAAAATAAATATTTTACTTTAAAAAATGGCTGAAAGCGGGGGGTCATGCCCCAGCCCCCCTGTTCCTACGCCTATGCCGATTTCATATGACGAAGTCGTTTAAAAAGCATCTTATCTCTAAGCAATTTATTAATTATGGTCACTTTAACAGACGTCTATACTTATAGAGCTCCGACTTTTACATTTCTTCCTCGTTCAGGAGCAATGTTTTAACCCTCACCGGACCTTCAAGTTTTTTTTTCAATACGCCCCGCCCCGGCCGAAGGGGCGTTGGGGGTTGGAACAACCCCCTTTGCCGATTCGCCCCTAATTGAGCCGAGAGTTGCGGCGTGGACAAGGATTTGAATGTCCTGGGCCCTGTAGTTGCTTTCTCGTTGAATGCGTTTGATAACATTTGTTTGATCGCACGGCCGTGAAGATGTTAGCAGCAATATTTGATGACATCACACAGATTGACGGCGTCATGGTTTGTTGATGTTTCCATGGAAACCCAATTTGACACGTGTGATAGCAGCGTGCTGCTATCACCGGTGAAACAGGGACCAGGGGAGTTCGGCACCGCGCCGTTTTCGTGTGGAATTTCCACGCCGAGGATTACGTCACGAAAACGGCCGTTCGGGCATGCCCGTTTCGCGGGACCCCGCAAGATTCTTCTCGCTTCGCGATGCCTGAACGGCTGTTGGCACGCAGGCACTGAACTCTATAATGTGGAAGGCGCATCGGCCGCCAGATGGTGTCCAACGGTGCCGCCATGTTGCGCAGACCAGGAAGCGGCCGCCGCCTGTGTTGGGGAATAGGGAATTCGGGACCTCGATTTACGTTTGCGGTCGCTGCATCCGTTACGTTCAAGCTATGTGGACACGGAACCCGGCATCTTACGCAGAATCGAGTGGAGAACAAGATGAAATCCTAAAAAATCCTCAGCTACAAGGAACTAATACGTTAACCCCTTATAAGTCAATGGGGAGATATGAAAATTGCTATTTTGGCGCCGAGAATGATCTGAAACTATCTCAAGCATATAGAATCATGATTTCATGCACTCCTTGCAAGGTTCTATGCTTCATATTTGCATTGTTGCCCTTGCGTGACGTCATTTGTGACGTCACAAGGGTCCCAATTTTTCTTCAATAACTCCCGATCAAATTGAGCTAGCGAGTCGGGAAAGCCACCAATGGACTCAGGAAGACCTGCCGAATCGAATGATATGCGACATGACCTCTTCCGACCAACTTCGTGACCTGGGGGTGCTGACCTGACCTTGACCTGAGGTCAACACCCTAAGTTGACCTGACCCGAACAAAAAGTATATCACTCGATGCGCCTGAGCTAGCTGAACACGATAATGCCAAAATCGCGGCTCTACGGCAATTTTTGGCGAAGTTATTTACCAAAAACCGAACCCGTGCCTTAGATCACTTGACCTGACCTCAGAGGTCACCGATTGACCTGAGACCTTTAAAGCGGGTTCCTACCAGTCACTCTGCATTATACTTTGCCGCATACGACCACTTTACCGCTTAATTCTAGTTTAATTAGCGGCGCATTAGCGAGGTGGGTTCAACCAACTCCCTCGGCCGGGGCAAATGTAGGTCCGGTGAGTGAATTTGAGGAATTCTGAAGATACGATCGTGTTCCCCACTCAATTCTGCGTAAGATGCCGGGCTCCGTATCTACGTAACTTGATCGTAACGGATACGGCGGCCGCAAACGTAAATCGAGGTCCCGAATTCCCTATTCCTCAACACAGGCGGCAGCCGGTTCCTGGTCTGCGCAATATGGCCGCCACCAGACACTACGGCCAATAGGGTTGAAACGGCAGTGCTCCCCTGTGCACGCAGGTTAACCCGCGCCCTGCTGGGGGGGTGTTTGAACACCCCCCCCTTGTGGTTTTTCGCGAATATCTCAAAAACGGCGGCGCGGAGCGCCGCCGTTTTTGGTACACCTTATCATACATCAATTCTACACATGTTGTGAAAATTTCAGACCAAGGTCATTCAAGGTCAGGTCACCAGGTCACTTGAAGTGACCTCACCTCATAAAAAGTTTCAATGTCTGTCATAGCTACACCGAGTGACCGATCGCTTTGAAACTTTCAGCGATTGCTAAGAGCAATAGCATGCACAAAATGTATATCTCAGAATTTTGATATCGATGACCTAAGGTCAGGTCAATTTTGCGACCTCCCCATTATATAAGTCAATGGGAGAAAATTGAAATGCGCCTCTTTTGGACGAAAGACATTATAAACACTCCCAAACACCGAATTACAAGTGGTTTAGACACACAGAACATGAAAATGGTGTCCGTGACCCTTGTTTATGCCCTGAGGTCATCTTAGGTCACGAATGGTATCTAACAGTTTTTCGCAAATAACTTTTGATAGAGGCATGCTAGAGCAATGAAAACGCCCCAGATGTGTTCAGCTTGACGATACGGATCGACTGATATGCAACATGACCCTTTCCGGTCAGGTCATGATCTTGACCTGAGGTCAAATTTTCAAGTTGACCTTTCAAGGTCAAGTTATAGTTCATTCGATGCGTCTTGACGAGAGGAACACGATGCCGGTAAAAGTAAGCTCGTACAAGGCTTGGGTCAAAAGTTATTGCAGAAAAAAAAGCTGTTTCCGAAAAAATCGGCTATTTTTGCAGTTTTTGCCCCCTGCAGGCAAAACCGTTGACGTTAGGTCAAATCTGAGAGTATTACTCAGAAAGGGCGTTAATAGGGCTATCGAATGCGCTTTTCCGCGGCGCTGTAGCTCTATTGGTTCCCGAGTTATGCGTTGGCTTCTTGGAAATTTTCGACATTCGACCTGGAAATCGGCGAAATTTTGCCTTCAATGACCTCTGGTGACCTGACCTTTGACCTGACCAAAAAATTGACCGAAGTGATTTCGTCATTATTTTTGACGCTCTTTCGAACGCCGCCTTCCGCGTATCGCTACGTGGCCCAGGAGCCGAGTTACAAGGGGGGTGTTCATACACCCCCCCCCAGCAGGGCGTGGAAATCCAGGACCCCCAGCCGGGCGCGGGTTAAGGTCCGAATGCAGGCTAAGGTGCTGACAGGAATAATCTTTGCGATGCTCAAAAAGAGGCAAACAGGTGTGGCAGTCAATGAGATTTAGTAGAATGGGACAGCCAGGCCCAGCCCAGCACATAGTGTCTGCATATGATGGTCTGTCGCCCATTCATGTACGCACCTTCAACTATCACGTCTGTCTCTCCTTTACTCGAAATTATAATGATCTGACCTCCTGAGTGGCGAGTCCTATGCAAATGCAAAGTTTCACCATTGCAAGGGATGTAAAACACTCAGGTTATCACATGTAAGCTTCCTCAATGACCTTGCACAATGCACATCACTATTTCTATTTGGACACCAAAGACCATAATACAACTGAAGGGAATCAGCATTCAATTATACTAGGATTAGTTTAGTTGTTACGAAATTATTGCAAAGTTAGGTCTCAAATATGTTTCTTCAAGTGTTCACTGTCCTGTCATACAAATAGCAAACACATGGCCAGAATCAACACTACAGCCTGTCTGACAAGTCAGACGAGCCTCTGCTGTGCCCACCTGATCGGATATTCTCCTTCAGAGCTGGAGCATGGCTTCTCTGCACCAGCTCCTGGCTAGGTGCAGCCTCCTGCTTCATTGGAGCAGCCTCCCGCTTGGTGTTCTGAGAGGCCATTGCTGCATTGGCTTCATGATCAACCTCTGTAATTGGAATAAGCATATCATTCAACATTACTCACATTCTGAGACTTGGTACTATATCCAAGTGATCAGTAATTTGGCAAGTGTTTTGTGGAGTACAATTATGACGAGGAATGTTTTTCATGGAAAAACTTTAACATTAGAAAGGCAAATTCATTCTGTCACATTTCCTTCAACCTTTTCCAGTGAAGTGTTACAACTGCTTCACGAAAGTCATAGTGTCATCCTTTCGAAGCATTTATTTTAATATAAAAACACACTAAAGGGCATTGAGCATTTTTTACTAATGAATGATGAAATAAGTAAAACTCACCAAAGTAGGCTTCTGCATCTGAGTTTTCATATTCGTCAGCATTAAAATTGGTAAAATCAATGTACATTGGGGCATCGAAGTTTAAATCCAGATCCCCATCCATCGTGACGCGGCAAATTGAAATTGGGTCGAAGGCCGTCGTCGAAGAACCAAGAAGTTGAAGTCGAAGTTGTTGGCCTTGGTCCTTCCTGATCTATATTTGAAGCGGCTGAACACTCTTCTGGTCAGAGCTATGAAAATAAGTAAGAAAGACACAAAACTCTCTAAACAACACCTTTATCCACCCCTCACGAACGACAAATTGAAACGGCGAAACGCTCCCAAGGTGCGCCGCCCGACTTCGTCAACGGCTTGGTCAACGGTTTCAAATCAAACGACGGAATCAGCTGATCTTACCGACAAAATAAAGTGAGCTTTTACTGACGTCATTACTATATTTTTCACCTTTTTAAAAACAGATAACTAGTTCAGAGCTAATAAATCATCAAAATCAAGTCAAAAACCAAAAAACTGAAATGCAGATTCTAAAAATGAAAACAACAAAGTAAAATAAATTTTAATACGTCATTTACAAAGAATGAAACTCAAAATCAAATCAGCCAATCAGAGGAAAGCATTCCACACTGTTGTTTTTCTTGTATTACTGTCCCTCATCTTTGGCACAAAAAGCAGCAGCTAAATTATAGATGATTAAAATTATTTTGTGGAAATTATAGATGTGGAAGATATCCTGGTATTCTTATAGCAGGCGTCTCACACTATTCGACTCATTGTGAGCTATCACATCCGGTATATGCATTATAGAGTTCAGTGGGTATATGTCAAGTTTTTTTTTTTTTTTTTTTTTTTTTTTTTTTTTTTTGCTCGGTATGTCAAGTTTAGGTCTTAACTACAATTGTGACGCTGTTGATACAAATATGTACCAGCAAATATTTTAGGTTTTAGCAAGGCGGTTTTAGGGGACGACGGTGAAAACAGGGCGCCTGGGGCGATTTGATCAAGGTTCGTTAAATTTACACGTGACGTTTGGGATATAGAAGGCCCATGGAGCAGGAGAAGTTCCAAATGTCACGTGACTAATATGCCCTCCGGCGCCCTGTTTTCACCGGCGTCCGTTTTAGGAGGCACTGAACTCTACAATGGTTTTAGGGGTTTTAGGTTAGGTCAAGGCCCTATGGTTAGGTTAGGTTGTAGCAATGAGTAGGTTGTAGCAATGAGTTAGGTTGTAGCTGTAATGAGTGGGTTTTAGGTTGGTTAGTTCTCTATATACCGTGGGTTGTAGGTTTGTACAAGGCCATCTATAGATTGTAGGATTTGTAGGTTTTAGGTTGTCATTGTAGGTCAAGGTAGGTAGGTTTGTAGGTTTGTAGGTTGGTAGGTTACCTATCACCCAGACTGCAAAGTATGGCAATTTCGACGAGATCTCGTCGGTGCGGGCTTGTTCGGCTGGTGCGGATTTTGGAGTGGTGCGGTGCGGATTTGGCCTGGTGCGGTGCGGATTTGGCTTGGACCAACGCTTGGACCTTGGTGCGGTGCGGACTACGGACTTCGCGTGGTCTTCTTACCCGGCCGGGTTCCGTTGTTGACTGTTCTTTGGAAAGCCCTACAAATGCGTGCCAGCCACGGTGACGCACGGTGACGGACCAAGGTTTTAAATTTACTCTACGAACTAACAATTGCGGCAGAACAAATCCATTCTTGCCTCGGGAATTATCGTGATGACGACGTCATTAGAACGAAGACTGGTTGCGGTGGTGACTGGTATGTCACATTAGCGAGCAGCTGGTTTGGATTGCCAATCAGCACCCTACTTGGGAATGACGTCATTGGTTTCTTTCATACGAAAGTTTGTTGGGGCTATTTGATCAAGGCTCGTGAAATTCACACGTGACATTTAGCATGTAGAAGGCCCACAGAGGGGGAGAAGTTCCATGAAAGAATGCACTTGAAAGATCAAGTGCAAGGGATATGCCACCTCAGCAGCACAAGACTTCAGCACCAGTGGATGCAATCTGTCGGGCCCCATGGCAGAATGGGGGTCAAGCATCATCAGTGCCGATAGGACATCGTCCGTTGAGAAATCAACACTGTTAAGCGTTCCATTGAACATCTGATGGGGTGCAGGGTGCCTTGGGCTGTTAGGAGAGTAAACAGAAACAAACGATGAGGCGAACATTTCAGACATGGTTTGGGCATCGTCGCTCATTTCACCAGTCTTCAGCATTATGGGGCCAACTGCTGGACAGCCAACCTCCTTAGACCTTACATAAGAATGGAGAAGTTTTGGGTTTTGTCTGGACCTGTCAATTAAGTTTCTTTCATACTGGCACTGTGAAGTTACAGTGAACATTCTTAACTCTTTGTTAATTGAAGCAAAGGCACCATACGCCTCCACGGAAGCATGGGCTTTCCTTCCCAGTTTCTGTCTAACAACCTTATAGTTATTCCATGCTCTCAGGCGGCGGTGTATAAGGCTCGTCGGTGGTCTAGTCTGGAACTGCGGCCGGGTCCTCAGACGTGGAGGTTGTTCTGGCACAAACTCATTTGTCAGATCTGCAATGACTCGTACAAATTGGACAAAACACTCATCACAATCCCGGTAGGCAAACTCGAAGTCCCAGTCCGTATCTTTTAGCAGCTGGCGCATCAAGGCAAAGCGACCCCTGTTCCAGGCTCTCCTGTAAGGTCGGGGGTGAGAGACAGTTAAGATGTCATCTGACTCGAACACATAATCACATACAGCCAGGCAGTGGTCGCAACCTGGCAAGGGAAACAGTGGCTCTGTCTTTTTCCCATTCACAAGGCCAAAGTGAAAATTTCTTAGTTTTGTGGTAACTTTCTTTGCAATTGCATACCTACCTCATTTTTCTACCTATTTAAAGAAAAGTCTCACTGTCATGGGCTTTTTTTCAACCGTAACAATACATTTGAAGTCGAAAGTGTACCCAGCTGAATAAAAATTGATGCAATGCCCATATTTGGTCATGGCTCTCCCACCAGAATCAAATTATTGATGCCTCCATATTTTGATTCCAGAAGTCTAGTTTGCCCAACTGATCTTCCAGATGTGTAAGATGCATACATTTTGGACCCGAGGCTGCGGCTAGATATTGACCCCAGGAATCGATTGCGACCCTTATTTTGGCGATTAGACGAACCCTTGAGGCACTTTTGACGTGCCCCTTCCTTTATGGGACGATTAAGATGCACATCTGGACGCAGCAGGACGTCTACTAATTGCCTTACCTGACGCGACTCGACCAGCCTGGTCTAAATCCTTGTCTAAATCCATGAAGACATCATCGGTGGTCGAAACTAACATGAATTCGTGATCAGCACCCCCCCCCCAAACATAATAGCTTCACTTTACGAAGTTCTAGCAGGTCCCAATTTTCCCAGCTTTTGGTCAGTGACCTGTCCTGGAAGGTCAACCAATGATATATGACCTTAAAATTGGGTATGATCAGCTTCCTCTCGTCACGGACAGCGCGCTCATCTTTTTCCCCGATGCTTTAACTCGATCTGGGACCGAACGGCAGGGAGGGGGGGGGGGGTCCAAACGCCCCCCCCCCCGCCCCGTACACGTTAGACGCTGGAAAACGCCACATACAGGCGAAGGTTAAATTATCAGCATCATTATCATCACCCCTATATTTGCAGTGTATCCAGTTTCTACACCACTGCGGGACCATGTCTCTGTACGACGACATCGACTCTGGTCAGAAGTCGGACCGCGTGCCCGGCTGGGGTAGCTCCAACATGAAGCTGCTGCAGTCGCAGCTGAAGCTGCGGAAGGCGGCCGTCAGCCAGCCGCGCCGCGACCTCAGCAGGCGAGGTAACGTACTGGCGCCCGTTATCGACCTCAAGGGCACGAGGCGCGAGGACGAGGACTCGCCGGCGGCGGCGGCGGCGGCCACGGCCGTGCTCACCATGCCCGGCGTGAGTGGACGGGACGCTGGGGGAGGGGAGAACGCCGGTGATAGGGGATGACGTTTCAGCTGTCCGGTTTATCATATGACAAAAATGACGATGCTGAGCGTTAAGTTGTGAAGAAATTTCAGCAAGTGTTTATTTTTTCCATCCAGTTTTTGAATTTTGACTATTTCCTTCTTGACAATGAGATAACTCCTGATAAAATGTTTTTCAGCTGAACCAGAGAGGTTACCGGGGCCCAGCACAATTCATCTCGTTCGGGCCGGACCAAGACGCCAAAAACGAGTACGACCCTCTCAAACCAAACGACTACGAAAAGGTCGTTAAAGGTGAGTCCAAGACATACAACTTGACAAATGCCGAAACACCTTAACATTCCACTTTGCACAAATGCCGATTCCTTCAAGTAAATGTAAATGTCAAATTCTAAATCTTGTTCAACTGAATATATGAAGCCTTGTGTTAGGGATCAGGATCGAATAATAACTTTTTCAGTTGCTGTGTTACACAACCTGGTTTATTTACCCACATTTTCTGTTTTTTTCGTAACCATTCTTGGTTTGTTTTTCCCCGCCCTTCCTGTGCACCGTTTTGTGCGTATCCGAGTGTAAATTCATAAACCCTCTCTAATCAGCGGCGCGCCGTAAAAAGGAGGAGGAGAAGGAACGAGAGCGTCGCGAGCGCGAGATGGCGGGCCCGGTGACGAGTCTGGTCAGCAGCTACAGCGACGACGAGGCAGAGACCGCCGCAGAAGAGGAGCGGAAGAGGAAGAGTGAGTGGCGAGGGGGGGGGGGGAGACGGGGAGAGGGACCGGAGCTGCGGACCGGGACGAGGCGAGGAAGGGCCGGTACCAGCAGGGTACCCCCAGATCATGTCAATCGCATCATGTCATCATGTGCGTCTTCTTGTCGTGTCAGAATATCATCTTGTCCGAATATAATGTCAATAAAAGTAAGTGGGTAAGATTTCTTGCTGTCTGATACTGAGTGAGAAACCCCATCTGCCCTGTATGTCGCTTGTTCAGCGTTTTTCGGCACTTCACCCAGGCCACATTCAGCACATCCACCTGGTTAGGTATGACTGTGTGACGTTCTCCGTCTCCACCCCTGACCGTCGCCGTCCCGGCAGGCGCGCTGGGAGCGGCCATCGCGCCGCCGTCGGCCCTCCAGGAGCGCTCCTCCTCCCCGCCATCGTTCGGTCTGGGCGCGCCACGGCCCAGCGGCTCCGGCGCAGGGGGCAGTATCGCCGCTCAGATCATGGCCAAATATGGGTACAAGGTGCGTACGTGTGCGGGAAGTTGGGAGCAACTAGTGCACGCTGGATAGAACAAAGCGTGTTGTTTGAAATGTGTGTCACATCCTTGTAAAAAGCATGAATTTAAGTGGTTAACATTGATGACCTAATAATATGTGGCACGTATATTTGGTCATGCCGGATGATGCATTGTGAGTTGTGACGTTTGAAGGGCAAAAAGTGCCTCCCGCTCATTTTGCGTTTATCACTATTCTGTTCTGCCTGCCAAACATATACAGGTTTGCCATCGCCCCTCCTGTAAGGTCTGTATCTGACCATTGCTCGTTCCGGCGGCCGGCAGGAGGGTCAGGGACTCGGTAAGGCCGGCCAGGGCATCTCCCGGGCACTGGCCGTCGAGAAGACCTCCAAACGCGGTGGTCGCATCATCCACGAGCGCGAGCTATTGACGGCGGGCTCTCCGGGTCCGTCGGGCACCAACACCCCGCCCCAGGGCGGCGGCAGCGACCTGATGCCGCCGCCGCCGCCGCCGCCGCCCCCGCCCGCGCAGCCCACCATGGCCGAAATACTGCGCAACCCCACCAAAATTGTGATGCTTCGGGTGAGTCATGGAGTTGGGAAAGCGACGGGAGAGGTGTGGTCATTAAAGACACGGTGCTATAAGGTTTGAGTTACGATTCTTGCAATAGAACAGTCGTTACATTTTGCGGTCACGTAAATGCGTGTTGGATGGTACGGATATCGCTCACTGATGTTTCGATTAAGCTATTTTTCCGGCTGTCTTTTCTCTGGCTATGTGAGGTATCCCTATCTCTGATTGATCTCTGACTCTCCGGACAGAACATGGTTGGTGCCGGGGAGGCTGGTTGATGGGCGTGCCGGGGAGGCTGGTTGATGGGCTCGAAGGCGAGCAGAAGTGTAGACCCTCTGAGTGTCGGCCCTCTGACTCCCCTCCCCTCCCCACAGAACGTGGTGGGCGCCGGCGAGGTATCTGTAGCACGGCTCTCTGCCAGTCACGGACCCTGCCCCCCCCCCCCCCCCACAGAACATGGTGGGCGGCGGGGAAGTGGACGATGAGCTGGAGGGCGAGGTGAAGGAGGAATGCAGCACCAAGTACGGCGAGGTGGTCAAGGTCACCATCCTAGAAGTGTCCGGCGCCTCCGACAACGAGGCCGTCCGCATCTTCGTCGAGTTCAAGCGGATCGAAAACTCCATTAAAGGTGGGCACGGGTAGAGACTGGGGATGGGGCGGGGTCGATGCCGAGGGGGAGTTTGCACACTGCATAGAATGGCGGGACATGATTTCCGACAGGACGCGATGTCACCGTTGTCTGCTGTGTTAATACTTTTCGGAGAGGGTCGATTTTTATTTATTTAAAGTCATCAGTGATATTCGTTAAACACACAACCGACGGCCGGTATTATAAACGCACAATGCGCACACTATACCTTTTCTGTGTCGGCCTATTAACCGTCTTGCGCCTTGGGAAAGACGTTTGTATTCTTGCGCCCATGGAAGTTATGCAGTCATGGTCCCAATTATCTTTTATTGTCATTTTTTGTGGGTTTCTTGTCGCATTGTGCAACCTCACCAATATCCTTAACCCGGCAGTTGCTGGGGTATTTCGCCACCCACCGTTTGCTGGGGGGGGCGTTAAACGCCCCCAGCCGATAACTCGAGAACCAATAGGCGCAGCGAAACGCACGAGGCGGCAAACAAAAGAGCGCGACGAGACGCTTCAGATGAGTACTTAAAAGTTGAATTTTGAGGTCACAGGTCAGGTCAAGGTCAGGTCAAACACCGGAAATCGGGCTTTCAGTAGCATGGACTTCAGGACTTCGCAATGGGCGCCTCTCGTCATAAACTCTGTCAAAACGGTGCACGATCCATCATATAAGGCTTACAAGAGTGTCAGCTCCATGTAGGGGTCAGTCAAGCATAGTTCAGGGTCAAGGCTAGGTCAACCGGGTAGGCACATATCCCCGAAAATCAAAACTGATATTCGCAGCCTGTGACACATGTTTTATGGGTAATTTGGAGCGTAGAACACGATGGTGACATTCTTTTTCTCATATGTGTACGAGTTTGGCTCAAAAAGTTCAATTTAAGAAATTCATGTATCATGGTCGTGAAGTAGTCACGAGAAATTGCCAAGATTCAGTTCAAGATTTTGGAAAATGCGGAACAATAATCAATAATCGAAGATAGCCATTAGAATGCTCATGGTATTGGCAGTCTAATGGCGTTTACGGCATGTCTGTATATTTATTCTGTGATTTTATATGATTTTTTTGAACATATGCCGTTTTAGGTCGAAAACTCCGAAATCATGACGTCACTAAAACCTCGATATCTCAAAAAATTTCTGACCGATTTTTTTGAATCTTTGTCACAATAAACTTCAATCAATTCCCTACAGGTACCCAAAATTTGGCGCGCCTGCGGCGCGCCGTTTTTATGTTATGGCCCGGCGAAAAAAGTGGGGGCGTTTAACGCCCCCCCAGCAACTCGCGGGTTAACCATCCTTACCCTTTTAATATCCTTTCATTCTCGTCAGCATATCGTTCAATCGTTCCCACTTTGTTTACCTTCAACCCCTTTCTGTAAGTAATTTTGCTCCCTCCCCGCTGCAGCGCTGGTCGACCTGAACGGCCGGTTCTTCGGCGGACGCCAGGTGAAGGCGCGATTCTACAAACAGGACCTGTATGACGACCTGGAGCTGAACGAGCATGTACCGTGACGCCGCGCAGTGTCAGCCATGTCACCCCTGTGGGAGTGTCAGTGTCAGTGTCATCCCGGCGCGGTTCACATCATCACCCCCTGGCCGATCACTGTCGGTTTGTGTAATGCTCCCGCCGCCCGGCGCGGCTGGGATCCGTCACGGAAACCGTGGTACAATGTTGTGTAATATTATGGACGACTCGCTGGTCTGCGTTTGGGGGCTACTGAGGATGGTGATGAATTGATGCAGACGGGACCCGAGTGCGATTAGCATGACTGCACAGTGCACACAACATTCGACTTCAACTTGACACGATTGGCATTTTGCAAATTGTGTCATCGATTTGCAAAATTTGTATTTTGCAAATCGTGAGTTACTGATAAACATGTATACTTTCGCTATCCAGTAAACGTTCCTGAAATAACAGCGAAAAATTGCAAAGTGTATTTTACCGGCTTTTGTTGAGAAAAATCACTCAGTCGTCGACCATACACTACATTTTAATTACTATAGCTAGTTTTAGTCGTATAAAGTAAGCTACCTTTTTCTGTTACAAATGTTGTGCAATTGGCACAGTTTAAGAAATCCAACACTGAAACAAATTTGTTGCTACGATAGAAAACATTACCGTAAGTTCAGTGTACTAGCAGATCTAGATCGTCAACAAATGCATACCTTTCACTCCAATATCAGATACAGCGAGAAAGCGAATACCTGTGGTTGAGCCTGAAGTAAGCACATACCTCTGCAGCTAATAGCTCCAATACTTGGCAAGCAACACAAAACTCACGTCAAGCCTATCTTCCGGAGAAGTTAATGACAACAATAACAGGACAGTATGCAACAGCGCTGAAAGCTCATCACCAAATTTTAACAAGAACCTGTCCAAATAAACCCTGATTAAACATCTCGCACCGTGTTAGAGCGTGCACGTCAAACCGAGTTGCAGAGACAACGGGACAGAGCGATGGTCAAACTACTACGGGCGGTGCGGGACTGCGAACAACTGGCAGGTCACAAGCCTTTTGAGACAATCCAGAGGCGCCGCGGACGAGGGGCCCGCGGCGGAGCGAGGCCATGCGGGGTCAGGTCAGGCGGGGGCGGGGCGGCGGAGCGTGGAGCCGCTCAGCTACACACAGCCAGCAGGCCGAGACGGGGCCAGGCGCGCTGTCGGCCGTCCCCCCGGCACCACAGCGGTCCGCCCGCGGCCGTGGTCAGGTTGGCCAGCTCCCAGGGCGGGAGGGAGGTGGTGACGGCCGGATGGACAAGGTCAGAGGAGGCGGAGGGAGGTAGCGTGTCCGCAGCGTTGGTCAGGACCGGCAGTCGCCGCGGGGTCAGCACCGACAGCCGAGAATGGATCGAGTCGCCGGGATCGTCCGGATCGGGCGCCGGGCTCCGCAGATTCCTCCAGGTATCATTCATCGTCTCCTCCAGCCATCTGTCGGTGGCGGTCGGCACTTCAGACTGCAGCTCCGGCCGCTGGGTGTCGTCCATGTCTTCGCCACTGAGCCTCTCGGTGACATTCGGTCGGTCGGCTGTTCCAGCACCAAGTCCTTCAGAATCTCCGGCGAGGGGGTTCAGGGCGGCCAGGATGAGCAGACCGGAGGAAGCGGCGGCAGCACACAGCTGGTCCAGGAGAGCGGACGGCGGGGGCAGCGGGGACCCGGCGGGTGGTGCGGCGGCCGGCGGGCGGGCCACGAACACTGCCCGGTGGGGTACCGGCGCCGGCGGCGGGGCGTGGAACACCAGCAGTACGGAGCTCATCAGGGTCATCACCGAGGCCAGGTAGGCCACCGAGCAGACGGCCACCACCTGTCGGGACGGGGCACGGGCGGGGGTCAGGGCGGGCAGCAGACAGCCCGGTCCTATTTATGTCTTTAAAGCCACCTGGCCGCACGCACTGGAAATTTGTGACCCGACCAGAGATTTACAAAAACCGTTGAAACATGACACATGACTATACGTAATCCCTATCATTTCGATATTTTCTTTGATAACAGAATCACTTCGTCGAAATCAACTGTGAACCGTTGGCAAAACAATCACGAGAGCTTCAACTCGTATCCCCTCAGCCCACCCGGAGCGGCTCCCACCTTGATCAGGGCGTCTTTGAGCAGCTGTACGGTGGCTGCCAGGTCGGCGGCGCTGCCGATCGACAGCAGGTCCGAGTAGGTGAGCCATCCGCCGCGCTGCGAGGACTCTGCCAGCGCGGCGCCCGCCTCCACCCGGCCCAGCATCTCGGTGAACGTGCCCGGCGGCACGTACAGCTCCCAGCCCTGCGGCGGCGGCCGGCAGAACGCAAAGTCAGAAGTGCACAGTGGAGATGGGTAACAACGGTTCGAGACAGGTAAGAAGCGGGAAAACGGCGGACACCGGAGTGACAAATAATCTGCAACGCTCTGCAATCCAATTGATGCGTGATGTATGGAAAATAATTTCAAGTGAACCCAATAAAATGATGAATGCATAACGGCCACCTAATCCTCTGCGACTAAGAAACTAGTCATCTGAAATTCGCCGCCATCGGTCGAGGCTACTTACCATGGCGTTCAGGAAGTCGATTTCGGCTGCGTTGAGTTCGTCGACAGTCATCTCCGCGGAGGCGGCCCACTCATCATTGAACACCTGTTCCTGCTCACCGTCGTCGTACAGCATCTTACTGGCGGCCAGCTGTCGCGGGAGAGAGGGTAGTTACAAGTTAGAATCGGAGATATCTTACTGAATAAATTTTACCGAATGCTATGACAGCAGTTAGCACTTGTGAATCGAAAATCCAGCCGCTAGTAAGGACCCACGGGCCACGGGTAAAGCCCATTCTTCCAAATGCTATTGATGACTAACAACAGTGTAACACAAACAAAGCATTTAGGGTGTGCAACGGGTGTGCATAGCATTAGCTCACCGTGGATTTGACAAATAAATGGTTGTGTTGGCTGTTGGGTGTGTATACTGTATAGTGTACACTATATAATAACTCACCGTGGACGTGACAAACAGGTGTTTTGGGTGTGTCCGCCTCAGGTAGTCGGGCCGCAGGTCGGCCAGCCGCTCCAGGTACACGAGCGCCATCACTACGGCCGCCGGCGAGATACACGCCTGGTGCGTGATGCTCGTCACGTCCCGCATGGCCAGCGAGCGCAGCTGGCGGCCCGGCCGGCCCGAAAACTCGCGACTGGCCGCCGCTGCGGGCAGACGAGAGCGGTTACGTCAGCGCCGAGTCCGTTTTACTCAGCAGAGCGCAGCTGGGGGCCAAAACTCATGCTTTGTTGCTGTAGTGGGGAGGGGAAGGGACTTTGAACAGTTTACACGCATTGAATGCTATAATATGCATGCAGGTAGTTGAGAAAAATTAACTTGATTTAAATTATCACAAAGCAACAGTCAGTGGCACTCACCCATGAGGGGAAGGCTACCAGCTTCATCAGTGGCACGTCCACCAAAGTAAAGACTGCGCTTGAGTCTCCTGGACAGAGCTCGGTGGCACAGAAATTCCTGCAAATACACCTAGGTGTCAACATGTGAAAATGGCAGAGTTGAAAAAGCACACTTTGAAACACTCATCCAAGCAAGCAAACATAGTCAGGTTACAGATCAATTGATGTGCTGCTGAATAATGCCTCTTTAGAACCAATCATCCTCATCATAAACATGCTGGTTGCCATGGCTGACAGGTTGAAATGCTGACCATGTTTGATGGATGCCCAAAATATTGGCATACACTGGTTAGAGACTGGGTTTCAAGAAGTGGAGTCAGAGGTAGGGAATTTAAGCTAGGATCTGGGGAGCATCCTAGCCAGTTTTTCTACAATCATTGTTGGGGTGTGGGAGTGGGATAAGAGATGTGGGAGATGAAGGTTGAGGGGCCAGGGATAACTGTTGTGGGATGGATGATTGTTCAAACTTCAAAGACAAATACTTAATGTACTGTTGAAAAATTGAGAACAACATTTCATCATTATCGTACAGGGCAGGTGAATATATCAAAATGTGAGACAAAAACGTCTAGTTTAATAGGTACCTACCCACTCCACATCTAGTTACATGTAACCTAGACAATTTGCATAACACATTTAATTACAGCCAATATGCACCTTGAACATTGTGTAAAAAATATCATCATGAAACAATCTGGTCAAGTGTTCCAACATCATCTCAATCCTCAATATTGATATTCACAAGCAAGGGGGGAGAGCCTGCACTGCCCTGGGCCCTGTTTCACTGGTGATAGCAGCACGCTACTATCAAATTGCGCGAGCTGACGTAATGTGATGACATCACCGGTCACACTAATGACGTTTCATGTAATCCTTGAGCTTTTTCATAGCTTCGTTTGGAGGCAGAGTTGCTGTCTCGTTGAATGCGTTTGATACATTTGCACGGCCGTGAAGATGTTAGCAGCAATATCTGATGACATCACACAGATTGACAACGGCATGGTTTGTTGATGTTTCCATGGAAACCCAATTTGACATGTGTAATAGCAGCGTGCTGCTATCACCGGTGAAACAGGGCCCTGAACATGAAGATTAGGTTCAGGTTGGAAAGTGAACCTAATTCAACCAACACCAATAAAAAATAAGCCCAGAACACAGTCTCCAAATTCAAAAGATGTGCTAAAGCATGATTTCATATTGAAATTGAGGTATTCATGAATCATACATGATACAACTCACAAGGCCACTTAGCCTGAGACTGGCCAATGGGTTCATCAGCAAATGTCAACCAGCCAAGCAATTGCATACACAGCTTACCTCTCGCCTTGAGGGCTTTGAAGCCCCAAGTGCCATTATTTATGTCTTCCTCTGTAGTATCTTCAATTTTAACGCGAAATTTTAACAGTAAATGATTAGCCCACAAGCAGAAATATGCTAAAGTTATGCAACCTTCACGAGATTCCGACACTACACATGCTACGCCCTTTTGTGCAAGAGAAGTGAAAGTTGTGTTCGAAGAAGATCATGGTGAGTTTATTTGTTAAAATAAAATTTAACTTTTTCCTCTTTTTTATACTCAAAATATAAAAAAAAAATAATTTGTCAAATTTGTGACGAAAATGCTTTGAAAACATTACAAAATAATTGTAAAATGAGAAAAAATACAGGAGAAACATGACGCCATATTAAAATCGCCTCTTCCAATTCGTTCGTCATCGTGCTGGCAGCTGAGAGCTTCTCATAAGAACAGACTCTATTGCTGCTCTATTGCGGCGAATGCGCAGCATGTGATCGATGTGATCTTATGATATTGCGCTTTTATGAAATCGAATTCAAGATCGAATTATTGAATCTAATAAAAAACGAACCCTCGCGAGCTCTGGGATCGATCCGTTAGTTCTCTATATACCGTGACTGCGTTTCTGAATCAATCTTTGCTGTTGGCGGTCTTCATCAGTGTCCCAAAATGTGTTGATTTGGGTGGGAAGTGACATCCAAATCAAAATGAAAATTATTGTGCACTTATCTCTAATTTTCTCGAGCAATTTTCCACTACCAATTTTATTGAGAAAAGCATTTGCCTGGGTGATCATTTTACATCCTACATTTTGCCAAACTTGTATATAAATAACCAGTAAAACGCCTTTTGGGCGAAGAACAAGCGAGTGAGATAGTGAGCCCTGCACGTGCGAAAGGGCGAGAAGGTACTTCCAACGGGCTAGTGAAAAGCACCCTTCTAACCGGTCACTAGCAGTGTGCCAAATTTGAATGCAATCGGCCCAGCCGTTCCTGAGATCTAAAAGCGGCATTCTGCACTTGCGCACATGCAAACGGGGTCCAAAATGACTTTTGCAGGCACCCTACTAACCGGTCCCCAACCGTTTACCAAATTTGAGCACAATCCAAATCGGCCCAGCCGTTCTCGAGATCTGGAAACGCCCCCTGCACGTGCGCACGTGCAGTAGCACCCTAACCGCAACACATGGGAATGCATTGCCTGGTGGGTGCCTACCTATATGCCAAGTTTCAGCGAAATTGCCCCAGTAATTACCGAGTTACTGAAATGGGAACAAATTTGGCACCTCTTCTTTTTGTATTTTGCACGTGCAGTGGGGGTCACTCACATACCGTAAAATGGGGTGTTAAGGGACAGTGGGGTGATAAGGGACAGTTGTGTGGGAAAAACTTTGAGTCATGTTAAGTTCCTAATTTGAGAAGGTTAAATAAAAACTTGAGTGTGGTAATTGACACTGTTTTGTTCTTGACTATAGGACAAAATGGCAGGGTTTTTTATGCAAGTGATTTGGTTCAAAAATGGTTTTGAAAATCATGCTACATTTTCACAAAATTGAGACATCTCCAAAACTCTGTGTGTACCACATAAACTAGTAGGTGTACAGGTAAAATGAATGCATAGGTGTATTGTCACATGTATTGCACATGTTTCCTGAAAAACTTATACAAATCCACCTATTCATTCATCATCCTCTTCCTCTTTTTCGGACACATGCATATTTTGAGGTTGATGTGGGGTGCTAAGGGACAGGGAAGAAAAAAGGAAAAATAATATCTAAATATAATTTCATTAAGTTTTCTTTCAGTAGGCATGGAAAACACCAAATTCCACATAAAATGTTGGCAAGTTCATGCTCTTATCTCGAGTTATATAACAAAACACCTCAAAACTCTTTTACAATGATGGGTCAATGAAGACTGATGTAGGTAAATGTGATGTCATCATAAAAAGGCCAAAACAAAGAGGGCAACATAATGACAAGTGACTAGCTTCAAAATGGGTTTTTGTTGATGACAGAAGGGTACTTTTTGGTTCTGTTTACCTTATAATTAGCACATTTTCCAGAAGCATAAACTGCATTACATATAATTGGCTAAAAAGGCCATTAGTGGTGAATGAACCTGCCATGTTTTGAGACAGAACATGCAAAACATTTCAATAAATAAATTGTGTGCCCTTTCACACCCCAATTGTGGGCATTTGATGACCATTTCATGGAATAATATAGGTGTCCCTTAACACCCCACATTGGGGTGCTAAGGGACAGTGATGAAAAATAATAAAAAATAATATGCATGTATATATTTTTAAAACTTCAATGTAGCAGGCATGTAAAGCACCAATTTCCACATAAAATGCTGACAATTTGATGCTTCTATCTCCAACCTTTCTTGAGTTATATAACAAAACACCTCAAAACTGTCCCTTAACACCCCGTTTTACGGTAGATCAAGAGTGTCCGACCTTTGGTAGAAGGGATGCAGCTACCCTATAAAAATTACCGCAAGACAATCGCTCAAGCCGCTGCTGAGATATGGGCCTCTCAAAATCATTACTTTTGCAAAACTGCTTGAACTCCCTTGACTTTTCACGTGGCACGTGCCACGACGGTCACTGAGATGTATCAAAAGTAGCCAGTTACGGGGTAGAAGGAATGGGGCTACCCAGCAAAAAAGACCGCAAGCCAATCGGTCCAGCGGTTGCTGAGATATAAGCCCCTCAAAAGCGTTACAGGCCGGGCCGGGCCGGGCTGCTCATACTGAGATTATTCCGTTATATTGAAAAGACTTCGCTTCGCTCGCTGCGCTCGCTCGCTCGTAATAAATGTATGCCATTGGCAGTGAAATGTATGCCATTGGCATTGGCGGCATAAATGTATGCCATTGGCCCCTTTCCCACTCTTTTTGAGCCTTATCTAATAGGTAGAAATTTTGGTATTAGTAGAGCAGACGTCACACGAAGGTTTTCCAACCAAGGAGAGGCGCCATACCTGGAGTTGCTTCTTTCTAGGAAAACCTAAACAAACCTAACCTAACCTGACCTAACCTAACATACAACCTACAACCTACAAACCTACCCTACAACCTACAAACCTACAGCGCATCTGCTCGGTTGGAAAACCTTCGTGTGACGTCTGCTCTACTAATGCCGAAATTTTCCTGGACATTAGGGCCAAGACAATTGACAAATATCTCAAGTCAAAGATTAACAGATTTATGTGGGTGTTATTTCGGTTTAAGACTGCTGGCGGTGTACCATGATGGAGCAGCTGGCCTCCCAGCTAGCCGACAGCCGGCTGGCGAGCGGTGCCGAGCCTGACGAGCCGCTTCACACACCCCGACTGGCGCAGTACAAGAACGCCGGCCGGGTGTCCATCAGCCAGCAGTGCCGGCGCAGCCAGCTGCTGCAGCGCCAGAAACGCGAACGGGATGGTCGCTTGGATCGTCTGCGGGCCATCACGGCGGACGATGACGAGGGGGCGCTGGACGCTGCCGCACTGCCCCCCGCCTTCAGCTACAGAAAACAGGGCTTCTATCAGTCGCAGTACTCGAACCAGCTGATGTTCTCCGAGTGGATGGAGACGGTGCCGGCCGACCTGCACACTGACTGGCTGCTCAAGATGTGTCCTCCGGGTAAACGGTGCCTGGTCGTGGCCAAACGGCGGTGCACGCGCTCGTACAGCGCCTCCGGCGCGCTGCTGCGCACGTTCCCGTCTCGGCTGCCGGCCGGCTGGCGCGGCCCACTCGGCCAGCGGCCCACGGTGCTCGACTGTATCTGGGACCAGGCGGCCGGCACGTTCCACGTGCTGGACCTGCTCGCCTGGAACGGCCACCAGGTGTTCGAATGCGAGGCAGAGTTCCGCTTCACGTGGCTGCAGACGAAGCTGTCAGAGACGCCGGAGGTGGGGGTCGCCTCGCGCAGCAACCCGTACCGCTTCGTGGCGATCAGCCACACGGCGTGCGGGCCTGCCGAGCTGGCGGCCACCGCCGCCGCCGCCGCCGACGGGGCGCTGTTCTTCCACCGCGCGGCGCACTACTGGCCGGGCGTGTCGCCGCTGGTGCTGTGGCTGAAGCCGTTCATGCTGCCGGAGACGCTGGGCGTGCCGCGCACGGCCGCAGAGCTGGGCGCGCCACCCGACTATGCTGGCCGCCAGCGCTACATCGACCGCTGGCAGGCCAGCCGCCACCGCAAACCCGAAGGCCGCACACGGCAGGTCCAGATGGAGTCCTGAATATGCTAGCATGGCATTAAGGCGAGGTTTTTGCTGTGTGTCTCTTCTCCGGACTCCAACACGACAGCCTCCAGTGCGACAGCCTCCAGCACCACTGTTGACACCGGCGGCCGCATGGCTGTGCCGCGACGGCTTCGGTTAAGCAGAGTCTGCTAGGAGAGGTGACCTCCACGCGGCACACGGTCTTTCGTGTACACTGTCTGGCAATGCAGCTGCGAGAAGCTGTGCAATGTGCATTGCGACGCAATATATGTCATGTGCAATCAAAAATGAAATAAAAAGATTCACTCTTATCCGCCTTTTTTGAGGTAAATTTCCCCTCTGACACCCAAGCCAAGCTACAATTTTGGGACACTGGTCTTCATTGGGAAAAGTTACTGTGAGTTCAAAATTTGATGAAATGACTGCTGCAGGATTATGGTTTGTTAGTGGACAGTGGTATCAATTTTTATAGCCCATTGTATTACACGTATTGGTATTACAATTCGTACCCAAATAAATCACTCTTAGCCACATAGCCAGACCGGTTCAGGTTCACCGCTCGGCTTCGTTTTTGAAGTTAGGAAGGTGTGACTTGTGATCGTCACTCTGCAATGATACCATTATCAGATGCTCGAGTGTGAACAGCTTACATGCAGCTTAGTAAAAATATGTGCATTTTAATTTGCATTACAACATGCATTCTGTGTGCACCAAAAATGTATCTGTTACTGTGTTATTTCGGGAACCTGCACTGTTTAAGCATTTTGGACTTTTTCAGCTTGGAGTCCTCTCATGGAAGTTTTCTGACACCATTTGTTGGCCACCACAGACACTTCTCAAAGGCAAATAGCTCTGGACATTAGGTTAATTGTCAAATTTTGAAGGTTCTACTGAGTATCCAGGATCAAGATGGTTTACTACTTTACATCAAATGGTAATGTATCGTACAAACAGTCAAGTTATCACATTATTTGTAGGATGGAGGCATGCATGCCTTATCCATGTCTTCCATTAGGCACTAATTGTGCTGTTCAACTTCTATAAACTTATTACAGTTTCATATGTACCTATGTATTTAGGGTGTTATTTTTGATTTATTTATAGATGACATAAAGAGCTGCCTGTATTGATCCCACATCTTCTCTTTCAGTAACTGATCCACCAATCACCCTGTTCATGGGCTTTGACAAATATGAAAGTAAGTGTTCAGTACCTATGGCTTGTGTCAAATCATTCAAATATACCATTGTGGCTTGAGTCAAATCATTCAAACATACCATTATTATGTCAGTCAATATTCCTTTTTGTTGTTTCATTTTATGAGCTTAGTCAAGTCTTACACATGCAGAACCAATAGCTCATTGCTATTATTTAGAGTTTCACTTTTTTACAGTGATGACCATTATTTTTCTGCCTCCTGTCAGCCTCTCATATGTTCTGTACCATTTGATTCAGTGTACAATGCCACCTCTGATGCTGATTTCAGATGAGGAGCTCATCAGGTGGGGGTGGCCGGAAGACGTCTGGTTTCACGTGGACAAGGTCTCGTCGGCCCACGTATACCTCCGACTGAAGCCGGTCAGTCTTGCAGCACTGTGCATTGCTACATGGTGTGCTTGTGCTCATTTATACCTCTGAGAAAGAGCTTACGAAGTTGTGACTAGCGATAAACGTCATCGGACATAAGTGATCACTGGTGAGGCACGGTCGATTTTTGGACCGATAAATGGAGCAAAATATTCGTTATAGATGCGGGCGGTAAAGGTAACGTAATTTGAGTAGCGAATGAGTTACATATCTGGAATATATGAGCCGTCTTGACGGATTGGTGCGTGTTCATTCTGATATGACACAAATGTCTATTCTGCCAACTAACTAGAGGCCCGTATAGAAGGACGTCCATTTGTGTATCAACAAAGTTTCTGTTGGCAGGGCCAGACCATCGAGACTCTCGCCAAGGAGACGATCGAGGACTGCGCCCAGCTGTGTAAGGCCAACAGCATCACTGGCAACAAGATGAACAACGTGGACGTCATCTACACCATGTGGTCCAACCTGAAGAAGACGCCGGGCATGGAGCCCGGCCAAGTCAGTTTCCACAAGGACAAGGAGGTGGGTATCAGCTGGGGGATATCGGACCGGCGCTGCCAGAAATAGAGCCGGTCGCCCTCGGGCGGAGTTGTCCGGATCGATTGCTGCTGGGATAGATGTGGGCGTGGCGCATGGCTCTGATGCAATGTCGGTCGTGGGCCGCTGGTAAGGCGGTCTGAGTGGTGAAACGATAGCACATCCTGCTTAACTCATAATTGAGGAGCCACCGTATGGATGTTATTGTCATATAGTGGGTGTCACTCCTTTTTCTGACTAAAGTCATTGAACAATGTTGAAATTTCCCGTGGACGAAAGCTGGATGCGTTATTCATCTTACTTGAATGGCGCATTTCGATATTACCATGCACTCAAGTAGCGCAATGGGTTTATCGTGTTCGATACAAGTTGAATCATCGCTAATGCATCCTAGCAGCTGTTTATCTCTGAATTTGATGCGTCAGCCACTGTACCTGAGTGTAGCATTTCCTGCAGGTGTACAAAATTCGCCTGGAGAAGCGGATAAACGAGATTGTGAACAGGCTGAACAAGACGAAGCGGGAGGATAAGCCCGACTTCCGGGCGCTCCGAGAGGAGCGGGACCGGCAGGAGCGAGACAAGAAGAAGGCCGAGTTTAAAAAGCAGCAGGAACAGGAAAAGGTTCTGCAGAAACAGCGAGAGGAGGAGGCCAAACTCAGGTGGGTCACCCGGTCACATGAGACGGTGTTGAGCGGGGTTACTTATATTATCTGGCGATGTTTCCTACAGATTCATTACTCATGTACTATTTCATCAACGCTCTTACAGGAATCGGGTTATTTTTGGTAGAGGGGATTAGGTCATGCTGCCTTCGAAGAATATTTTTGAGTAAATTTGTTGGCTGACATAGCCCTACACCGCCGCAGGAGCTACGACTCGCTGATGCAGTCGGAGAACATGACGTCCAACCAGGACGGCGGCAACGACTCTGACGACTTCATGTGATACTGCTCTCCGTCTCTGTGCACCGCCTCTGCGCCGAGTCCGTCTCAGTTGGCCGGCACGGCTGTGGCGGCCTCCCCTCTGGACTCAGAATGTGGTATAACTGTGCGGCAGTGAACGATCTGTGCTGAATCTGAGGACCTTGCACACAGTGGGAGGCCGGTGAACTATTGGACAGCGGCGTTTGGAACGTGTGGCTTTCGACGTGGACCATGCAACAGCCGTGAGTGCGCAATGGGGCAGGGAATCGAGTCATGTTGGAAGTCGGGGTCGGGGTTAGGACTATCAAACTTTAACGCCTCCCGTGCTGTGCAGCCAGACTTGATGGTCCCTCGTCTGTCATTCCCCGATATTCAAACTCAGTTGTTTGGCCTAAATCTCCTCTCTGCCCTGGGTTTTCTCCAGACGGCTCCACTGATCGCCACCCCCTTGGCTCCGTACTGGGCGGACAGAGCTGCTGAGTATCGTTGTTTGTAACTGGTTGTGCCAGCCGGGTGTTGACGTTTTATAAACGGTCTATGTTCGTCGGCGTGTGTTGAACTAAATGGGCAGCTATAGTAGATGTTAGTCAACGTTTCTAAGCTGTGCGGCGGAGCGGTCGTGTGATAGTTGTCAGGCTGGTGCGCGGGTTCTGCCCGAGTCTGGGTGAGGACTTCCAGCGGAGGTTCTCGCAGCCGGATGCAGGTGGCAGCACCTGCCTGGCTCGGCGTCCACCGGCGCTCGCAGACACCCGTCCGCCTCTCCCCACCACTAAAACCGCCATCATGAACCGCTGTCAGCATTAACATTTTATTGAACTCCTCCGCCGTCCGGGGCGAGCGGCTGTCGACAGATGCCCCGGCGGTAAATTACGAATCGGCCGGCGCGACATCAAATACCGCTCCCTCAGAGGCGACGGATGGCGGGCGGAAAAACAATCGGTCGGCCGGGGCGGATGGCAGGGACATTGGACGCGTCACGGGCGAGAGCGACATTGGACGCGGCTCAAACGTCACTGGAATAGCACAAATTAAAGGGAACACAGCTACACACAAATGACTCGCGTAATCACGAGATGAAACTGAATATCCAGCACGCTAGAGGAAGGCCAAGAACAAGACAATGAGGAGTGACTGGCTGTGAGAGGATGTGATGTCCCTGAGTCGATCGCTGCTCTCTGCAGATGTATCGGACATTCGTCTCAGCCGCCCTGTCGACAAATTTAAAGTGTAAGGCGTAAGTAGGTGACCGGAGAAACTTGGATTATTCATGAATTTCGCTCCGATTACTTCGCAACTTTACCCTATTCCTGGCGGGCTCCGCCGGGACAAGAAACTGGCGTGGGGGGGGGGGCGATTCGGCCCCCCCTTCAGATCTAAAAAACTACACATCGCAGCGACAAACGGCAAACGGCGTTTGATAGGTCGTTTAAAGATCTACAACTTTTACATAAAACATTTTCAGGTCAGGTCAATATTGAGGTCACCAGAGGTCATCAACGATAAAATGTTTTGGAATTAGTTACCTATATAACTTTTAAACTAAGAAACATAGAGACATAAAACCAATACATTTTTTGTTGCTCTCGCCGAGGCGATGCGAAATAAGTATGTGATGACCTTCACAGGTCAATTTGAAATTTGACCTGAGGTCAAGGTCAGGTCATTCATCAATGAGGTTGTGGGGTATGGTCATGCTGCATACCAAACGACGTGCCTTGACCAGGCGAGCAGTTTGGTACCCCTTTCAAGTTTTTAGCACCATCATGTCGTGATTTATTGACAGAAAAACGATTTATGACGTCACATGACCTCAGATGACCTTTGCCGGTGCCCCTGTCAATTAGCGGCACCAGGATCATCACCGATGAGATAATCCTCCATAATACTGAAAGAATTGGGTGGTTTTGACTCGTTTACACGAAGCAGGAGGCGTTTCAATATTTTCCCATAGGCTTGCAATGTAAAGGTCACGAGTCTGGCCTGACCTCAGGTCACAGATATGAAAATTCTGAGATATGCAAATTGCACATACTGGTACCCTAACTAAAACCTGAAGAGAAGAAATTGATCGGTCAAAAATTCTAGCTCTGGCGTGATTGCAAACTTTTCTGAGGTGGGGTCACCAAACCGCCTCTGGTGACCTGACCTGACCTGACCAGGCAACTTTTTTTGTCAAAATGTGCGCAATGAATGTTTAGAAAAAGTCACCGAGTATGAGCTTTCAGTCTTGCGGCGTTTGGCAATGGCACAAGAAAAACCTGAAGGGGGCCTTAAAGGCCCGCCCCCCCCCCCCCTCCCCCGCCAGGAATAGGGTTAAGGCGGCCAACATTAGTTTAAATCAAGATAAAGTGAGCGTTGAGTTCGAAACAAGGACAAACCGACGATTACTACGAATATGATCCCCGAGGCATGTACTACCGATAATCGCTGCCCCTAAGGCGGAGTGGGAGGACCCACCTGGTTGAGTTTGCGATAGTCGGTCAGCTGGAACAGGACATGCTCCAGAATGTGTCTGGCGGTGCGACACTCCGGCTGCAGCCCCGCAGTGATGCCTGGAACGCCCCGAAATGGACAGATCACGACGGGCGATATCATCTGTTTTCATTCGCACATTATGTAACTTGCAATGTTCGACATTGCGACAAATGCTGGCAGCTACGGTGTGATGACAAGTGCTGTTTGTGACAGCAGCGCCGTCAAATGGGAGAGCCGGCGGCATTTTCAGAGCATCCCATCACATCAAGCGACGCGACTCGTATGAAAGGGACCACTTTACCGAATGTCCCATCTCATTTCCCGAGAGTGGCGTGACTTTGATGGCGGCAATACCATCCCGCCCTCTCTGCTGTCGCCCGCTGGCGGCGGAGGAGCGGCGGGCTCATACGGTTCGCCGCCTGAACGGGGCCCGACCGAGCCACCATGGCCGGCAGAGTGGATGGGGTAGCTGGGTAGCGAGCTGAGCTAGCCCAGATACCCAGAGACACTTGGGTAGGTCTCTCCAGCCCGGTCCAGCCCGACAGTGACACCCAGCTCCTCCAGCCCGACAACCGGCTCTCCCGCAGCCCGGTCCAGCCCCGGGCCTGAGCTATACGGGAGCGGCAGGTCCGCCAAACGTGGCCAATGATGCCACAGACGGGGATCGATGATTGCATGATGGCCGGGGAAGTGGGCCGCGCCACTGGAGAAATGGCGGCCCGGCGCAGTTTTAAACCACCGATTGGTATCAGTCGGGCCGAAACAGGCCTGACTCGTTCCTATGTCAAAAGATCTTAACCAGTGCCAGCTTCGATTCTTGAGAGTTTGGAACTTCGCATCAATGTTAAAATTTCAAACGCAGCAACATTCCTCAGATAAGTGACAGCATAAGCAATATGCGTATAACACGTTTGTTCAACACACCTACTACACTCGGTCTAAACTCCGCATTGTTCAATCACTCGGCATTCCGCGATCTACCAAGGCCAGAGAACGATCTGCGCTTCTTGCGATACAACACATTCCAACGAAAGACAGTCGAGCAAGCTAACCCCACCTCCCGCGAACCCCTCCCCCGCTCGTCTTACCGAGTATTTCGCCGCACTCGTTGACGAAGAACTCGAGGTCTGTGTCGGTGCACTTGTTGGTGACCTGCGCCAGCCGGGCCTTATCACTGCTGAAGGCCTCGTCCAGATCGTAGAGCTCCAGCGGCGGGTTGTCCAGCTCGCGGAACGCCGGAGGGAAGATCTGACCACACAAAAGCACGACTGATGAGCTACGGCGGTGGCGACCAGTGTCGCATGAAACTTCAGTTGGACCCAGAAAATTATGATTGACTGGGCAGTCCATATCATTCTTGCGGAAAATACCAGGGCGTTATTTGGGGCAATACTAGATAATACATTGAATGAAAAGGTTACTTCCATACAAAAAAAAAACGAAAAAAACGGTGAACTTATGCCTCCGCTAACCGCCACCGGCCACACTACCTAAAGTTTGTCCCAATGACGAGCCTTTGAATCCCGGTATTACTGCATAATGCGCATCTCCGAATCCCGCTAGCCATACACTCTTAGTTCTACTAAAACATCGAGTCAAGTCTCTCTGCCACTATCCACCCGGACACTCCCACTGACCGCCGGCTGCAGGGGCGGCATGGGCGTCTCGAACTGCGGCGTGATGAGGCGCAGCATCTCATGCTTCACGTTCAGCTGGTTGTAGATGTCCAGAGCCTTAGGAAGAGAAGCGGACGGGGTGAGTGGAGGTCAGTGGCGGATGGAGGGCGGTGTCAGTGGGACTCGACAAATCACGTGTGAATGTCGCAGAAAAGCAGAGCAGGGTATGTACTTTAAACATTAAATGCACATGGATTTAACGGTTCATAACATTGCAAGACATTATGGTTGTGGAAGGATAAGAGCTGAACACACTACTCAGACTCATTACATCTGGCATGGTTGCACTGATAGGTTGAAGCTGCTACGGTAATCGGGTTTCGAGTTTCGTTCGCCTTCCGGCGTTAGCTGATGACCAGGAAGCACCGGGGTAGGATCTGACTTCCAAGGAAGGAGTCGGGTAAAAACTGACCGAAACAACATGCATTACCGGCAGAAACCAGCACTCTCGCCGTACCAAAGCCCAGCTCTGTGCGTAATGAGATACATCATTAGGGCGGGTGATTTTGTTTCTTAGGTCAGGTAAGAATAAAGTCCACATTGGTAGCACTGACAGAGGCACGACAGCACCGTTGTGGCCAATGCTCTTTTGGCAAGTAAATTGTAAAACCTGTAACGTAATTTTGCAAGCAATTCACAGGCTGTTTTTCTAAGACAGAAACCAAGCGGTTCCGCGCAGTCTCTCTCTCTCTCTCTCTCTCTCTCTCTCTCTCTCTCTCTCTCTCTCTCTCTCTCTCTCTCTCTCTCTCTCTCTCTCTATCTCTCTCCCTTCCCGCTCTCTCTCCGCCGTCCCTCAGTAATGCCGGAGCCGACGGGCGCTGCTGTCAGCAGCCTGACACGCTCGCCGCCGCGGGGAGCCGGACTCGGGCGTCACTCGGAGAACGCTGACCGGGCGGAAACGCGTCCCCGGAGAGAACAGGGGAGGGAGGTGCGGGAAGGCGGAGACGGAAATGGAGAGGAGCGCAAATGTCTGAGTTTTACAGGTGCATAAGGCAGTGCTCGCTTGTGGATTTTTTATGTTGTAGAGATGTAGACTAAACATAGCGACATATCCGACGGAAAATGGGGCAAATGAAGTTGAAAAATGGAATATCGAGCTCCAAAAAGAAGTGTCCAGTGCTGCAATACAAAATTGTGTACCTACACGTCTTTTCGGTCAGCACGAAAGCTCAAGCTACGACGCAGTTTCAGAAACCATCACATTTTCCTTTGCAGTCTGCAAACGGCTTTCATATGAGCTTGCAGCAGTGCATCGAAAGGGCGTATTCGCCGTGCAGTGTTCGTTCCCGATTCAGTCAGTGCCGCTGTGTTCTCTATGACATTCTATGCTTCGTTACCCCTGCAACAGTTCGCTATTCACGGGTTAGCAGTCCATTGGGAATATCCCCTGAATACAAAGACACCTGGTAAATGAGCCCACTTCACCACTATCGTAATTGCTCAAAGCGGACCCGGCCACTGTTTCGGCCACAGGTCATAACCTTTAGTTCATAGCCAATCGCCATCGTTGGTATGGGAGCGCTCTCTGTGGACGGCCAGAAATGATGAGCTCACCGGCGCAATATCATAAAATGGGCCGTAAAGCCCATTGGTTAGGATAGGTCGGCGCTGTCGTTCGTTCCAATTACAATGCGGCGGCGATATTCGGGCTCGTTTTGTTATATAACCACGTGTTACTGTTATACGTGTACCGAGGTACAGAGTTTTAGGTCAGGTTGCATGCTACGTAGCAACGATTCTGCCTATCTATGCGCATTAAGTCTTACTTCAAGGCATTTATGGGACTAAATTACAGCAGCATTTCCAGTGTCACAACATCATCCCAAAGCATTCTCCAACTATCCCACTTCAGTTTTCGTAGCACCGTCCTCCAACCACGTCCCAACTTCCCTGATCTCTCCCTCCGAAACCTCCCTCACCCAACCGACCTGCGGCACCAGCCGTGTGTTGACCCTCTCTCCCTCCCTCCCTCCCTCCACACATTCGGTACGGACCTGCGGCACCAGCCGTGTGTTGACCCTCCCTCCCTCCCTCCACACATTCGGTACGGACCTGCGGCACCAGCCGTGTGTTGACCGAGTACACCTGGGTGTCGAACAGCTTGCTCAGGTCCGCCGGAACACTGTCTGACTCCTGCAGACAGACCCGCGGTCGCTCCGCCAGCAGACCCATGCTCGGGATCAGGTTGTAGTCGTTTATCTGTCCGCAAGTAGGGAGAAGGTACGATGTTACGTTACGATGTTACGATACGATGTTTTTAAGGAAATGCAGGGAAGTGACAAGGAGTAATGCGTAAAGCTAATGACGACAGACGATTACTGTCTTTTTTCTTTATTTATCTGGAGACAAGCAAAGGTGTTCCTATACCACATCAGCTCAGCCGAAAACCGTCATCCTACAGTCATCTGACCCGACATCGACGACACCATCCAACATCAGCAGCGGTTCGATCTGTCGACATCATCCCACATCACAGGCATCGCTCAACGGCGTAAGAAGCTGGCTCTACATCACTAGACATCACAGACATCAATACCAGATCCGGCAGTCAGCACGCTCTACATCTCACACACATCACACGACGTCAGAGGCTGCCCCGACATCACAGACATCAATACCAGCTCTGCCGCCAGCAGCCAGCACCGTCCCGACCAATAGCCGTCGGCGCCGTCAGGCCCAGCCGGCCAGCCTCGGCAGCCCCGCCGGGCCACATTTATGAAGTAAAGTAATATCAAAGTGACCATTTGCTCGGGAAATTGCCAATCAGGGGGTCAATTGAGCGAGCTGGCGGCACGCTCTCCGGCTATGTCGGACACATCTGAGCCGGCGGCGACAGCGGCCGCCGGGCTGGGCCGGGGCAGACGGACGGAACTGCCGCCGGCGACAGCCGCCGGCGACAGCAGCTGCGACCGGGCTGGGCCGGGGCAGAGGGACGGAGCCGCCGCCAGCGACAGCCGCCGGCCAGCCAGCCGGGCCGGGCCGGGGGGCAGGGACGGAGCCGCCACCGGGGATACAGCCGTGCCGCGGGCAGCCGGACGGCAGCCAACAACACGACACCGGGCCGCACGACAAAAACACACCAGAACAAAGCAACGGCCGCGCACAAATGGATGTTGTTGGCGCCGAGAAAAAGTTCAAATAATGTTGTTTGGAGAGGAGAAAATCCGATATAACTGTCGCGAGTTATTGAAAGATTTTCTCATTTAATTCCGTTTCAATCCCTGGGTGGTTGGCCGGTCCAATTTCGGTCGCATTAAATTCGACGGGCGAGCGCCGAGTGCAAACACACGTTCGCTCCCCTGCTACTGAGGAGATGGTGCTGAATGCAAAAAATAAAAGGCTTCCGAAAGTTCGGTAAAACTTAGCTACAAAGCACTTGTTTACCTGTCACATTGTTTTTCGTTGTAAACATGTTTTTTATTGCCAAGTTTCCTCATCCTTCATTCCTTCAGTTAATTTGATTTTCACAAGAAAGAAACTTGGGGCTTGTTTCGCTGTTTAGGCCGCAGAGAGCGTGGCAAATGTTTACATTATTATCGTTGAAAATACGTTGCGTGAATCAGCGTAATTGAATCGGCATATTTAAGAAAAATTTACAGCACACGTCACTTAGCCTTCTTTCAGGTTCTAAAACAATCGTCACCCAAAGCAAATTTAATAAACAACTCTTAGTCCTATGTGACTTTTTACCTTACTCGCATTGTTACCTCTTACATTCGGAAGATCGTTTACCTCATTTATCAATGTGTTTCAACGATCCTAACTCTACTTTAACCCGCGCCCTGGTGGGGGGGCTATTTTTTGCCCCCCCCCCTCCAGACTTTTCGATATATCTCCAGAACCGCTGCGCCGATCATCACCAAACTTTCAGTACCCTCCCGGACGTCAATTTTACACATTGTGACCAAATTTTTTTTCCAAAGGCTATGATAGGTTGGCCGGAAATGACGTCAGAGTGACGTCATGTTCTGCCGTTTTCGACCCAAAAAGGGTTTCGCGGGAATAGCTGTCAGGCCTATAACTTTGCAAATACAGAAAAACGATAAAGACATAAAAGCTGTAAAATTGACAGGGCTACAAAACTGCTATCTCGGATTTTTGAATTTTTGGATTTTGACCCCCAAAAAATTAAAAAATAGATTTTTTGAATATAATAGCCGAAAAATCCAAAAAGTTTTTTGAATTTCGCAAAAACCGGAACATATGTGATAGTCCTTACCGCCTTCTATCCACATACCAAATTTGAGATTGATATCTCTTTTTTTGGCGAAGTTATAGCGAAAAAACTGTTCAAAATTGATGACGTCAAATTTTCAAACTCAATTTTTAGCAATTCTAGACCCCGTAGCGCAAAATAAAGACCACCATTAGACTCCCCGTGACGAGCTGCATCGAGTCAATACCCATTATATGAAAAACTATCAACTTTAAAATTGGACCTTTTTTGACCTCACCTTGACGTGACCTTCACCAGAAAGGGACTTAACCCTCGCCCATGTAGGGGGGGGGGGGGTTAGTTGGTGGCTAGTTGGTGCAACCCCCCCCCCCCCTGAGGCTTTTCGGAAATAGTGCAAAAACGGCGGCGCGCAGCGCCGCCAAATTTTGGGTACCTTATGGGGCAAACCTTGCGCATCTTTTGATAAAAAAAAATTGACCGGGTCATGTCAGGTCACGGAGTTATGACGTCACAAAGGGAACAGCCTCCGGCCGGATTTTCACAAACTGAGTGCCAACGCCCGAGGTTTCCTGCCGGTGGTACGGACATCGGTTGATGGATCGTGATGAAACTTCCCATGCATGTTGGGGCAAGTATTGGCTATCATATGGTATAAGAAACCTGACCGGGTCAGGTCAGGTCACGGAGATATGACGTCACAAGAGGAACAGCGTCCGGTACTATTTTTGAAAAGCGCCCGAACCACTATTTTGCTAATTCTTGTCACCTCAATGGGAATATGCAGCAATATTAGCTTCTATAGGGAGCAAATGGACCTCCCAAATCCAAAAAATACAATCAGATTTCAAAAATTTAAATTTTGATTTTTCAAATTTCTGCCGCCGACTGTGACCTTGCCCACTTCCGGCGCTCCCAACGCGCCATTTTTAGAGCTAGGGAAACGAAATACATACCAAACGATAGAGAATTGATCAAGGAACACGATAGTGAAGGTTTCAAGTCGATATCTCCCACCGTTTTGCCGCAATCGCCGCGGAAAGTTGAAAAACAGTCTATTTTTCCGAAAATTTGACCTTTGACCGGTCAAAAGTAGGTCAAATGTTGACCTAGGACCAAAAAATATACCACCAATCGCGAGATCGCGGCGAGAGCAATCCGTTGGTCTTTTCCGCTAATCTCTACGACGCTCCGTTTTCAAACGCCAAGGGGGGGGGGGGTCGCACCAACCCCCCCCCCCCCCTGCATGGGCGAAGGTGGCAGATCGCCGTTTACGGGCGAGGGTTAAGCCGTACCCTATAGTCTTATAACCAACACCATTGAGTTGGAAATGAAAAATTGGCCATAAAACATGCATCGCACAACCTTAGTACCTAAAGTTAGGTTCATGTGACCTGACCTGTGACCCTTGGTGACCTGACCTGTGACCTGACCTTGTATTATCAGTGACCTCTTATAGCAACATATGTACTAGGCAACTGACGTCCTATCGCTGATTCTCGACAAAATGCGTTTTCTTCGGTGTTATAGCGCATTCCCTAGAAGACCCGTGAACGGTGAAACATTTCATCTTTGACCTGACCTGTGACGTCATCGGTGACCCCGAGGTCAATGAAATTTGGTTTCCTTCGACAAATTTGACAGGCTTTTCGAACGCCGTTTGAATTTTGCGGATCTGTCCAGTAGTTTCGGAGATACGGGGGGGGGGCAAAAAATAGCCCCCCCCCCACCCACCAGGTCGCGTTATAAACAGACCCCACCAGGGCGCGGGTTAAGGAAACCTCGCAACTTGCATGCACCATCACACTGCCACTCTCCCCCTCACACCCCTCCGCCTCTCCACTCCAGAGCGACCCCAGCCTCACCTCCGGGTTGCTGGCGTCGATCCTGTTGAGGGTGACCTGGTCGCCGGAGCAGAGCATGTCGAACAGCACATCCTTGATCTTGCTGTTCTCCTCCTTCTCTAGGTACTGGTCGGTCAGCATGGCCACCGAGCCCAGCGCGATGATCTTGCCGCCGGCGTCGTTCTGGTACAGGCCACAGATCTGGGCCGAGGGGAGCAGAGGAAAGGAGATTGAACTTTAAAGGAGCAGGTATTTGGGAAAGAGGAACGGAGGAACAATTTCATGAGCATATCTGTGAAAAGATTTCATAACAGTGAAAACAAAAGAAAGGCAATGACTCATTTATCTATTGAACATGTTTTTAGAGCGATAAAAATAACCCAATTACATTCATTTATAAAAAACAGGTCATATTCATTGTTCAGGAAGAAGCAGTGGTCACAAATGACGCGGTAGTGAGTTTTACGGAGTATCAGGACCATCAGATATCATGAGAAAGCTGAGAGGGAACCGGAATCAGAGGCACCATCGAGTATGTAAGCACACCAAATAATGGACACCGAATGGGCATGCATCCAGCTAACTACCCTCAGAAAGAAAGGACAGTATCCTAATTGAGTGTATTGTAAGACCAGGAAGCGAGAGCGAGCTATAATGAAGGGAAGGTAAAATAAAAACTGCTCCCTTACAATCGCGCCAAAAATAATGAGCACGGACTAAATAAAAGCTCTAACGAAAGCACAACACCGCAATAAACAGCGGCGGCTGGTGCACAACGCCTGTAAGACGATCCGGTGAGGCACAGCGTGCCCGTACAGCTGTCCACTAGAGCCACTGAGAACGCGCTCTTACCGGCCGGTTACCGGGTAGGCCACGCTGCCTTGTGGCCGAGGGCTAAAACATGTGAACTGGGATTCTAAACCTGTGCAATGGGGAGGTTTGTGCGCACCGACTGGTTGCTGGGGTCTAGGCCACGCTGCCTTGTGGCCGAGGGCTACAGTGTGTATAACTTGTTATACTAAACCTGTCTGCGCTGGAAGGTATGTTGGTAGTTGGTGTACGCACCGGCCGGTTGCTGGGAAAGGCCACACTGCCCGTGGAGAGCAGCGGCACCGCCGGCTTGGCCACGTTGATGGTGGCGCCAAACGGGTACAGGAACACCAGCGCCCTGATGGGGAGGGAGGGGGGGGGGGGGAGAGATTAGACCAGTAGCAGGGACACAAGAAACTTGAGATCAAAAGGAAAGGGAGTCAGTGAAATCGGGAGCGCCAGGGCTCTGCATGGAAATGGCGGAAAACTGGCTAGAAAAAGACGGGATTGGGAACAAAAGCAGTCGCAGTGGGACTTTTAGCGGAGTTGGACCTGCGTCGAGCCTTGCAAGACACTAGTATCTACTCCAGAATCAGGAATTCTAACTACCGTCTGGCTGGTCGTCACAGCCTCGTCACTCACTGCGGGTTGTTTCCGTCGTCATCCATGCCGACCCCGGGCGTCGTCTTGCCGGCCAGCTGCCCCAGCTGTCGGTTCAGGATGCCGTTCGAGATGTAGCACTCCTTCGGATGGAAGTACTTGTAGTACTGGGTTCGCACCACCGCGTCTGACGGGCGAGAGAGCGAGGCCACTCACTTCAAAGGCCAACACACCGATATGCGTCTCAGACATGAATCTCGCACCATGCCTCCTTAGTCCTTACACCCCGATGCGTCTCAGACCTTCACAATGATACCCTACCATGGAACCCACCAAAGCGGAAACTTTGCATCAGACTATCCCAGAGTTTGCAGCCAAGGCCATTGTGGATGTTGTTTTATCTGGACAGCACCATTTTCTCGGCGCGGCGGTCTGCCGGGGGGGGGTGGGGGGGGGGGGGGGTGGGGAGGGAGTGCCGCGGGAGCCGTAAATCTCGTGGAATTGGGCCTGCATCTCTGCAGCACCCCCACGACAGCGGGAGCCGTGTGGGCCGCCTGTGAACGCTTATCTGGCCGAGGCGTGCTCGGTCTACAAAGGGCCATAAATTGACCCGGTGCATTGTCAGCGCGGCCCAGACAGTCGGCGTGGCCGCAGACAAACGGGATTTCTGTGCAGATTTGGTCAACTCGCAAAGGAATGTTTGAGAGGTGGTTTAATCATTGGTTGAAGGCATTGTAATACAGCGGTGCATTGCTTGTGATGCTTACATATATTAAGATAACAAGTCGAAAGACCGCAGGTACCGTTCAAAACGTCCAAACGTCTCATGTGCGCTTGAATTTGACAGCCTAGTGGTTATGCATGATTATTGATTTGAAACGAAAAGGCAAATATTTCGCCAGTTAAAAGTTTCCCAATGCTACTCAACACAAAAATCGAACTGTTAAAACGCTAGTCCACTCTAGACACTAGAATCCAGATTGACCTTACCAAAACGATCTCGGGACTGACCGCTGTTGATGCTCATGCCGTACTCCTCCAGCAGGTAGTTGATGTTGGTCTTGTTGAGTTTCTCGCCTCCCTCTCCGAGCATCACCAGCAGGCTGCCGCCCTCGTCCACGTACTTCTTCAGCATCTGAGACCACATCATCAGCAGTCACATCACGGCGCCCGTCCAGTTTACATTCTAGCTACAGATTTCAAGTCACATAACAAGTCTAGCAAATGTCGAGCCTACCACTCCGACCCCATTCATCCGACCCATGACGAATCCCATGAGCACGGACCACCGCCACATCGCACATTTTCACAGGGATAACGTCCGAGCCAATGTCCGTCTCCGACATGAAATCATAACTCGATCGGCGCCAGGCGCCGCCGCTGGCCCCTGCCGGCCATCAGACCGGTCACAGGGCCCCTCTCATGTCCACTCGGCAGTCTGCGCGGCGCGCCCGCCGGCGGCGGCCGCTCAGATCTCATTGAAGTCCGACGCGCTGCCGGAATGGACGTCAGATTGACCGACTGAAGTTGGGGGCCGACGTCCCTCAGATGCGTCATACTGACGTCATTAGAGGCACGTCTGGCTGTATAAACTCAGCCGAGAGACTGACCTCAAACTCCTGCGCGCTGAATTTATCCTTCGGTCCCGGTAGGATGTAGAGCCGCGTCTGCGCGAGAATCTCGCTAAACATCTCGTCCTTGTTACTGAAATGCAGGAGATGGAGCTCATTAAAAATTTCGCTCAAAGGAGATCTGAAAAATCCTATCTGAGGGAGCATTGTGTTGAGCATTCAGCGACTGATTCCAGTCCTAAAACAAAACACCCTCCCACTCTATCCCTATCCCCTCCGTCACTGCCAGAGGACACCCACCTGCTGATTCGCCAGGTGCCCTTCAGTTTCCTGATGAGCGTCTTGAAGCCGCTGGTCGTGGTGGCCGTCTCCCCTTTGGCCGCGTCAAATATCATCCCGTTTCGGAACGGCGCAGCGGCGGCCTGGACGGGAGCGGCGGCGGGGGCGGCGGTGGCAGAGGGGGCGCCGGTGGCGGATAGGGCGGCAGCCACGGCGCCAGAGGCCGCCCGCGTGGCGCTCGCCACGCCCGTCGCCTGATGTCGCGCCAGGTTAGAGGTCAACGGTATGTAGGTATCGGGTGGGGTGATGAGAGGTCGGGAAGGGGATATGCAGGTCACTGGACGCGGGTAACAGGCTGTAAGAGTGGATCTGTCCCGCAGTCTGCAGGCATGCAATAGTCAGAGAGAACCCAAATAACCCAAATCAGCAGAACAGAAACAGAAACTATCCCAAAGCCAGACACAATGGATAACAACTTCAATAGCTGTCTCGGCCAGGGTAAATAAACATTAAAAAATGTTATAAAAGATCGAACAAACGTTTTCTCGAAAACAGCATGAATCAATCGCGGATTTTCATACATATTACTTGCATGAAACAATTATCTAAGTAATTGAGTGCAACTCGTTTCATCACCATAATGCTAATGAACTTTGAGTTCGGGGTACCTAGTTCAAAGCCATGGCGTTAGCCGCGGGGTTCATTCACTGAGCGGCAAGCTACAATGCTCTGTGGGCCGGCGAGTCATTCCGACTAATTTACGAACTCCATGGTAGCGCGGAAATTAATGGTATCAGCCGGAATGGCCGGCCGACATGAGCTGTTGACACACCAAATGGCCGCGGTTTCGGGTAGCGACCATCCATTATAAAAGTTCGCAAGGCATTTATCACTACAATTTGTCCATTGCCCGGAAGCGCTGATAAGTGAAGTCAGTTTCCGCAGGCGGAACTACCAGCTGAATCAAATGTCTGAACTTCGGCGGCAAATATTATCGTACACCAGTTTTTGAAATGGTGGTGAGTGACCTACTATCGTAAATGTAATTACTCGATCAGAAGTTGATAATAAAGCATGTAATAGCCAGGCGCACCGAAGCTTGAGCATTCTTTCTACGCAGTCAGATGAACCTTTTCCATGTATCTCGTTATGCTCTGGGAGGACGGCCGCCGTCCACTGTGCGGAACGCGTGCGGTCCGTACGGAATTTAACACAGAACCCTATGGGCGCATCCGGTCCGTACGGAAATCGTGTGCGTTCCGTGCGGACCGCATCCGAACGGCAATCAGCTGTTGATTTTCCGTCAGCTCTCCGCAAGCGTTTCGGAAGCGGTTGCTACGGAAACGAAATAACAAAGTCCGACATGTTGAACTTTTCTGCGGAGAACGCAGGCGGAACGGACGCGGACAGGTACAGTCTTCCGTCTTCGAGTTTTCAATTGCAAATTTAAGAAATAATTTCAACTCTTTCAAGATGAAGTAAGTAAACAAATTTTCCTTGACATGGCAGCACTATGTTATGCTAGTAAATTGCTATATTTTCTTTTGTAATAACTGATAATTGCTCTTCACAAAGTGTCAGCAAGTGTCCGTGAGCTTTCCGTCTGCGGTCCGGATGCGGTCAGCGTGCGGCGACATTCCTGACGGACTCCGGACGGAATTCCGTCACAGTGGACGGCGGCCTTTAAGAAACCATACGGCCTTAGGCAAAGGAAGAAAAGGAACTCCGAATTCCGACCTCTCACGTATTCGATAGAAAGAATTATCAATAGACGCATTGAGTTGAAAGGCCAATCATTTGTAGCTCGCGCTTCGATGAACTTCATCACACTATCATTTCATTACTTCCGTGCTGAACTGCTTCCGATTTTTGCACAATTCGCTCCTCCTCTACATAGGTATGAGCTGACTCATTCCCACAGCCGCACTCAATAATGCTGCCGTGTCCACCGGCCGCAATATACGTGCAGCCAAACCCAATATCGGGCTCACCAGCGCCGGCGTCGGATTAAACTCCAGCGGCCCTCGCCGGGCGAGCCCACTCAGGCCGGCCGACGCTTACAATGCACATGGGACCGGCGCTGTTATGACACACGATCATAGACCGACTACCGCCGCCGGCGCCGCTGGACGCTTCTCCGACCGGCCGGCGGGCGGGCCATCCCAGCACCGCCCCGGGCGGGGGCGGCGGCGGGGGCGGCCGGCCGCGGGCGACTCGGGCGACGGTAAATCGGGCCGACAATGGCGCCGCGCCGGACGCCGCATGCAAATAGCTCGTTCATTAGGTGGCGGGAGCGGCGGTGGCCGCCCCATTTACATGGAAGCCAGATGTAATCTGCATCTGCTTCCGTGACCGCCCGCTGGTGCCGGCGCCGGCGGGGGCAGCGGGAGATGAGAGGGAGGGACAGAGGGCTGGAGCTGCCCTCTCGGAGAGGAAAAGGGGAGAGGGAGAGCGGAAAGGGTGAAATTATGGGAAAGGAAGAGGAAAAAGGGGGTAGAAGAAGGGAGATCAAATGAGAAAGCATGGGAAGGGAAAACGGGAGTAAATAAAGGATGAAAAAATGAAGAAGTGAAGACAGAGAAGAAGTAGTGAGATACGGGATGGAAAGACTAAGATTCTTTGACAGAAACTCAGACAAGTTCACGAAGAGCACGACTTACCTCTGTGTTCATGGTTGATGGAGGCATGTTGCCGCCAGTGGAGGCACCGTCCTAAAGTCCTCTAAAGATGGCGTCCAGGTATCGCGGCGAAAACGTGTCGCGAGAAGGCGGGCAGGTCTCAGGTGCCGAAATGAGAAAGTAACCGGCAGATTAACTGAAAAAGGGAGCGGCATTGTAATAAAGGTTGGGTTTAACAGGACACTACTTAGGGTGAGTTGGTATCTACCACGTAACGGGAACAAACCCGCATAGCCAAATGTCTTTCTAAGCATCGACACATTAAAAATCCTACAGACACAAAAATGGACACAAATTGTAGTAACACTGTTTTCCACGTGTTTTTTTTCTTTTTTTACAATACGAGTAAAGTCGAAAACAGCCTGAAGGTGGACAGATTTCAATTAAGCGCTTTCGTGGCGAGAGACAAAGCCAAGGACAAAACCATCCTTCTAAAAAAATAGCATTCTTCGAGCTCCGTTTAATTTAGGTATGAGTAAAAGGCACAAGTAACACAACCGAATAATCTGAAATACTTTTTTCACTAAATAGGAATCCATATTTCTTGGTAGAAAAGGTGACCTCAGCGACAAAGCTCCCAATTACAGTCGGATTTTAAGCCTGTCTAATCGCTTTAAAGGTAGTGTGCCAGCTTTCTTGGACCGTATGGAGTTAATGGCCCAGATAAGGAGAACCGGATTTTTAGAACTTATCCATACCTTCAAAACTCATGGAAACGTCTTAAATTCTTCAAATTTTGAGTACCCCAGTGCGAAATTCGCCCCGACGGGTTGTCGGTCGTACCCCAACCACATTTCACACCACTATGAACAATAAATGCACACACTGAAATCGCTATTACCGATATGCTCATCCAATCAAGTTTCGATAAACCCGTTCATCATCAGCTCCTGCGGTTTCGAACACGCCTGTTAGGTGGTGCGGTAGACCACGCCCAAAGCCAGGGCCCCGGTAACGTGAGGTAGCCGAGTCAGGGCAGCGTGCGCTGACCCAAGCCGGAGCCGCGCGTCCTCCCGGTGTCATGTGATAGCCCGGGGCTGCCCGCGGGGATGCGGTAGACCGCGCCCAAAGCTGCGGCCCCGGCTTGGGTCAGCGCACGCTGCCCCGACTCGGCTACCTCACGTTACCGGGGCCCTGGCTTTGGGCGCGGCTTCTGCTCATACTTTGTGGTGCGGTGGTGGTGCGTCGGGCTGCGCGCTCTGACTTCGGCCAAGAAAAATGCGTCAGCTGATCATTGTCATTTCTGCCACTTGCGTGTGGTGAAATGGGGTCATAACTTATAAGACGGCTTTTTCATATCAATTATTTTACATAAAATCATATTTCAAACCATAAATAATGTTCGACAGCCAAATAAAAGAAACAATACCAATACGGGCTTACAGTTTAAGGCTCGACATTGTGTTGTCTACTATTAGACAGCTGATAACTCATTCCCGTACGTCGTATGGTCGTAACACTATAATGACCTTTGCTTATTGTCACAAGTGCGCCGCATTCGCGATTGTTGCCCGACGCCTGTTTGCAGGTGAGCCCACTACAGTTGTTATACATATCTAAAAACCGATAAACTTTTAGGCGAAAAAGGCACTATTCCAGGCCCATTTTTGATTTTTTTTTGCGATATTAGGTAAAAACAGAAGCTTCTTATCCTAGGAAAAATAAAATGGGAAATCTTTCAAAGGTGGCACACTACCTTTAAGCGCTTTAATGAAAAGCGCACGTGAAGCCTAAATAACTTCAACACTGGCTAGCTGAAAAACATCCTACTCTCGATTTTAGTTTTTGATTTTCTATTCATTCCTATCGTTCGTCTCGTGCCGTATTTAGTTGTGAACTTTATGCGATCGGACAGGCCGAGAAAAAACACGATTATGGACACTAAAATTAAGAAGCTCGCGTACCAATATGTAGGTACTTTTTTATTTTGTATTCCCGACATGAAATAAAAAATGTGATCAATTTCGGCCAAATGCTCCAAGTCCCCCGAGCTACCAGTGCAGGCTGCAACATAATCTTCATTCATGACTTGAACAGACTAGAGGGATCTTGATTCATTGAGCAATTTTGTTGAGAAATTGAATACGAATGAATTTATGGCCAGCATTCGAACGACATAAATCGACATTGGTCTCAATCCCGATAGAAACCCTGGTCCTACACATAACGGCACATCTCCCCCGTTTGATCCGGGAGTGGGGACTCTCGCTCCTGAGCTCAAACATCAGTAGCACGGCGGCGGCTGTTTGCCATCGTGCAGCTCTTGCACTGTGTCCTGATTAATGCAAACATCTCCAGGGCGCGGCAGCCGCCGGCGGCGACCAACTTTTCCGAGAGCAAACAGGCCAGACCAAGGGCCAGACGGCGGCAGACTGCGCGGCGCCCGAACCCCCCGATACCAGCCCGACGCCAGACGGTTACCATGGCGACCTGCGTCTGTGCAACGTCACTGGTCGGCTGCAGCGGGGCGGCGAGATGAGGGCCGTCGCTGCAAGACGGAAGCCTCCGGATCGGGTCGGGCGCGCCGCAATATCGCCGCTGCTTCCGCCACAAATGCCGTCTTTGCGCAGCTGAGCGGCCAAATAAATCCATCCGGCTGTCGACGTCAGTGGCGGGGTCAAACGGAAGGCTGTTGGCGAGCTGGTCATCAGGCCGGGCTCAGAGGTCATCGCCCCAGGCGGCGGGCTGGAAATAACGCCTGAATGCCTGCCGCCAGACGTCTGCCGCGCTCATGAAGGGGTGCCAACGAACGGCCCACAAAGTGTAGGCCGTTCCGAAAACCGGCCGGTTCTCAGAGGACAATCTCGTCACGGAGAACGGCCGGCAGCCTGTCCACGACACACGCCGCGATATGAAACGAACGCCGGCCATCTTTTCAGACAACAAACTACAAAGCCCCGTAAACCATCCGGCATGATATACGTGCCACCCACGGATAAAACATCCATCTAAGAAGCCGGGTATAGGCTGGCAAGAACAGGCCAGCCGCGAAGAACAAACGCAAAAAAAAAAACTTTGAAACGCCAATATATGAATACGAATCAATGCCATATTTTCTATCAGCCACCCTCATTGTGACAAGGGCGGTGGTAATCACTCATCACGTAAACACGCCCCCCCCCCGCGATTTTCACGACTAGCTAAGAAAACGGTGACGCGCATTATCAAACACTTCTTACGTAAAGTGAAAATATTTGCCTCGGATCTGAGTTGAGAGCAGGTCACCACGTCATGTCAGATGACCTGACCTCGAGAAAGTAAATGCTAACATTAGCTGCGCTGACAGAGCAATTGCCTTGAAACTTTCATTGCTTGACGAGGAAGAGAGGATGCATGAGGCATGGACACTTATCTAAGAATTTGGATAACTGTATCCAATGCAAAGACAGCTCTGGGACATTCATTTATTCTTAGGATTTATTATGGAATCTATGACACTATAAAGTATGTAATTGCAAAACTCAATTTAAACGTTGCAAAAAGGACTTAATTGCACTCTAATGTTTTCAAAGATGATGCAAACCTTTAACACCTTGCGCCCAATCATAAGAGCTTTATATCCTCGGACCTCACTGAGAGCCACTCATTAGGTACATTGGTTGACGCTGCTCCGAATGCCGCTAATTTCTGAGCCTGACTGGAAAAAGTTTGAGTGATGGACCTCCCCAGCTTAGTAGCCCGACCAGCTACAATTCTCTATGTATGCCCCAGTAGCCCCGGCCACCTGTATATTTCCAGCAGCCATTCCCGACCACCACCGCTCCCCTGTATAGCCCCATGTCGCCGGCCGGCCGAGCGCGCTAAGCCGAGCTCTCGCGGCGCGCTTTTCGGACCGAGAATGGCGCTCCGGCCGGGGCTCGGTTCCCGGAACTGCCCGCAGCCGGTAATCCGGGCCCCGTTCGACGCCCGGAGCCGGTGCTGACGGCGCGTGCCCGACCCGACGGCAGTAGTTGCCCGGACCTGGCGGCCGCCGGCGAAAATAGCGCGCAAACGTGCGGCGCGCGGCGTCACAGGGAATCTCAGATTAGTGCCTAAGTGCAGCAGATACGTCGGTAATCAGATTTAGTCCTCGTGTCCACAATGTTCGACGAATTCCACTGTTCATGATTTATCAGCGGACCCGCCGAGTGTACCCTAGTTTAAATTCTGTCCGTCGACACCCGTCGTTCCGCCGCCGCTCGTCATCTCTCGGCTGAACTCGGGGCCGCCTGACCCGGCGGACGGGTCGCTCGACCCGCTCCGCCCGGCGGCGGCGAACGGCCGGGCACCGGGCGCGGACCGATTCCGAGCAGATTGAAGCGGGCCTCGCTCCGGCCCGGAGCGGCCGCCGTCAATTGGCCGATGCCGTTTACTGGCGCGAGCTGAGATCGGTTCGCTCAGCGGCGGATCGGCGCGGAGACCAAGCTGGTCTGATGGCCGGAGTTGCCGGCGGCTCTGCGCGGAGACCGAGCCAGTAGGATGGCCAGAGTTGCTTCCCAACCAGCCGGTTAGCTGGTCCGAACGCGGCGGACATGACCATGTAATAGTTCAGGGAACGGCGGGAAAGACTGATGAAACAGACGAAAATGTATTCTTATCAGAGTTAGTGGAAATGGTCACAGAGGGATGTTGAATAAGGTAGTTATAGACTAAATGTAAGTCTGCTCTTCATTTGCTTCCATTCAAAACAGACATTGGCTTAACCTAACTTGCCAAAGAGTATTCTGTCGCAACTTTTGATGATGCATGAATTCAGGCGCGATGAGCAGATTCGGTAGCAGCATCAATTAAATTAGGTATACCTTAACTGAGAATATCTGAAAATTCCGGGACATTTGCTGTTTTTGCGAAGCTTACAATGCATTTGAGGTGGAATCAAAATACCTTGACACTATTGTGTGAGCCTTTTGTGAGCCCTTTTAGCATTTCTATCACTTAAGAAACGTTTCTCTCTAAAACAAGTCACTTTAATCGTAAAAAATAAACAGCTAAGCTCCTAACAAGCGAAGTTTCAAATTTTATCTGCATCTGCCATTCTTTTCGTATGATTTACGCATCAGACTATCAAATCCCTTTCCCTGCCACTCTCACGCCCCTCTGTACGCCCCTGTCGGCTGTCCTCCCGTCCCCCGCCTCCCCTTCTCAGAGCCCTGGACACGCCTCTGGCGATCCGCCCACTCGCGTTCAGCGCGCGCAGGTGGGCGGGCGGCAGGGGCGGCGACGGCGGCCGAGCCGACATCTCTCGGCTCGGCCGGTCGCTGGCAGACGGACCGGCCGCCGCCCCGGCCAGCGCCGGCGGCCGCCCAGCGCTGCTGGCCTGCCCAGCGCCGGTACTAGGTGAGTACCGCCCAGCGCCGTCTCTCCGCAGAGCCGTAAACAGCGCAGACACGGCAACCCGTAGATAGAATAGTAACAGTAGTAAGCGACGAGCCATCGAAAGTCGCTCAGCTGTTGTATTCGGTTGCCGTTTGTGCCATACTGCCAGAGTTGTTCGATGTTCCTCCTTGGTGTGAGTTTGACGAGCATTTTTCTTTACTTTTAGCTATACGTGCTTTATTGTTTAGAATTGAAGTGATAAAAAGATAAGTAAGGCTTTTGTCATGATATTCAAAACAATATTTAGAAATTGGTTTACCAGAAAAGCGCAAACAATGTATGATTTGCAGCATAGTGCATGCCAGTTGCTTCTTTTCAGCTAGCGTTCCGCCGTGGACCGGCTGTATGAAGAGAGTGGAGACTGACACCTTTGCCATTTATTCGATGTGACGTCCTAATGAACTGATCCTACTTTCTCTAAAAACGTAAGGGAAATCGACTCATAGCCTCTGGCTTGCATCTATGGCCAAAACTTTGTCACCAACCCATTCCCATCGTTCTCAAAACGGTGACTAAAACACGCAGGTTCGCTCAAGTTCCAGTCTCCGGCCGTCCTCAAGACGGGCAGCAGCCGCCTGTCAGATCTCGGATAGACTGTGCCGCCGCACACCTAGCGTCTTTGGTGTTCGCCCGTCGCAGTCTCCCGGCTTGAGGCCCGGCGCTCGGCGTCTCGCCGCCTGTAGAGATCAGGGTAGGCTGTGCCGGTGTGCACGGAGACTGCAGCACAGGCTACGAGCACAGGAACGTAACGTAACCAAGGAGCGCGGCGCCGAGAACACTAGACCGCTCCTGCGGCTACTGTTCTGACATTTTCAGGTACAGTTCAACGTGTTGTGCCATTTTCAGGCACAATGAATTGTAATATATTTCAATTTCTTGTGTTCCTCTATATTTTCCTTTGAGCAGGCTGTAGATGTAAAGAAAGCATCCGCAATGAAGCCTGCTCCTATCGCAGAACCATACAGATCTAAACAAACGAAAGAAATAACAAAGCACTAAAATTATCGCGGGTAATTTTTATTTAGCTCGCTGGATGGTTTCATCCATGTGGCTCAATAAAATACAGCTCAATAGCCTTGAAAGACCCAGAGTGCAACCTGAACTCCAAGCAGACAAAAATATAATGGTAAGAATATTGAAGATATAAATATATCATTATCAAACTGGAATTAAAAATCGTCATGTTTCTGCTGAGAAAACCTTTCACAAAGTCACAGATACTTTTATCTGCCGCCAATGCAGATCCTTCTCTCTCCAGCATCATTTTCATTATTCTAGAATCTCTCTCTTTCCTTCTTTCTTTCTTTCTTTCTTTCTTTCTTTCTCTCTCTCTCTCGCTCTCTCTCTCTCTCTCTCTCTCTCTCTCTCTCTCTCTCTCTCTCTCTCTCTCTCTCTTCTCCAACGATCAGCTCCTCCCACCTATGTATGACGTCACCATTCCCCTGTGAGCCCGGGGGACCTCCTCCGCCGGAGGCCGATCCGGACCGGGGGCTGCGGCCGTGTGGGTAAACGAGACATCGACCCATCGGTCGGCGCGCGGCCACCATCTATTTATTCGGCCTATTACCCGGCCGAAAATCACGTTACACGCGGGACGCCTGAATTATGCAGCCCCCCCCCCCTCCCTATCCTCGGGTCGGGCGGAGCGGTGCGCGGCGCATCCGAGCGCCTCAGGGACACAAGGTCACAGCAGATGCGGTCATCTGAAGATAAGAAATCAGCAAATATAGTTACTCGCTGAATTCTAATATCATGTATCATTAGCATTACGTTGAATACCGGTGGGTTCCGGGGAAATTTAATTAGGTGGTTGATGCTAGCAGCGGGCTAGTTGAATACCATTAGAATTTCAGCATTTGCTACTTACCGAGGTTGTTATAGCCCCTGCCAGTAACTGAAGCTGCTATTCCGCTTGGAAACAACCGTCTCTTGAAAGGATGTTTACAGGGATGAACTTTGTTTGACCTAGTCTAGGCCAACTTCTGAAATAGAAATATCAAAATTAATGAGCCAATTTTTTTCTCTCTCTCTCTCTCTGTTGCCAGACACTCAAACTAACACAAAGTTGAGGGCTAAATCGAGCAAGAAGTAAATTAAGACATCCCGAAAGTGGCGAGACAGTCTCACAGACATCAAACATAGAACAAAGACTGGGTGCTCACTGTCAAGAACAGACAAATCCAGTTTGCCCAGCTGACTGAAAGCCGTCACACGAAGCCATCACCGCACCCCTCCCCCATTTCATAGCGGTTGATGGGGGACCTTTCCCAATCCCCAACACCAGAGGTCATCTGAGGTCACCGCCAACCCTCCCCTAAATCCCTGGTAGCTCGAGTCCGAAATGTCATCACCCGACACCGGATGGCCGTGGTGGGGGCGCCGTCGCCGCTGCCGAGCCCCGTATCGGACCAGGCGTGTTTATCGGCCGCCTTCGGCAGACACTGCTGTCAGCGACCCGATACCGCTCGGTCGATAGACTGGCCCACAGTCGTCAGTCCCGCTGACAGCGCGGCCACCGCGCAGATTCCGCCCCGCTGACAGGGCGGCCACCGCGCAGATTCCGCTCGCGCGGAACGCCCGGCTCGACGGCGGACCGCGCAGATTCCGCCCCGCGCGGAACGCCCGGCTCGACGGAGGACTGCTGATTCCGCCCGAGCGGAATTCCCGGCTCAGCACGGGCCGCTAATCCGCAGAGCCGGACGGTCCGGGGATTGCCACCGGACCGTCCGGGGATTATCACCAGGCGGTCCGGGGATTGTTACCCGGACGGTTCGGGGTACGCCGTCCAGCCCCACACCGGGCCGACTTTCGCCGTCGGAATACTAACCGCGGTTGTTATCGCCGTTGCGACAGGCGGCGTATTAATGTTAGATCGGCCGTCGACACTCCGATTTCTGATGTTTGTTTAGAGAGAGGGTTCGCGGGTTAAGCCGCTCGCCTTGCGCAGAAGTTAGCCTGTTAGTAAAACGAGCGTGCAGCGCCTGGGGGCGTCGCCGGGCGGGAACAAAGGAGCCCTCGTCAGCGTGCCCCTGGGGGTATTTAATAGCCACTCCTGTGCGTTACTAATGTGAACGGCACTTTTGTCCCGAGCTGCACCCATTGTTCTGCTTTGTTATTTATTGGAAAGTGCTGCTGGATGATTACCTAGGTTCGTTTTTTTGCAATGCTCTATTGTTGCGTCCTATTGATGGGGATACTGCCATGCAGACAAAACGACAAATAGACCTACAGTCTGGGTTAAACTGCCAGTCGCTAACTCGAAAACCGCTCATTAAATGTGTCTCGAAAATGTAAATATGAAACATTTTCTCGGCCAAACTCTATCCAAGCGCGACGCAGGATTATGCTTTGACCAACATTCGTGTACTGAATAAAGAACACAGACCAAAATGGTCTCTCAAAAGCTCCTGCCCCCGATAACTTGCTGCTCTCCATTCAGGCTCGGACCGCGAGCCCGGGGCGAGCAGCTGTCGCGGGTCGGTTTGGATTCTGGCCGCGCACATCTCTACCCGAGGGGAGGGCAGGGGAGGGGAGCCGCGCGGGGAGCGGCGGGGAGGGACGGGATCGGACGGGAGCCGCGAGGGGCGGGGCGCCGCCGGTGACGGGTGCCGCGCGCCGTTCGAACGGACCCGCGTCACACGGTGACTGGGAGGCGGACAGGGAGCAGCGGAGGGGAGCGCGGGACGCCACGCGGCAGAGCGAGCCGCGGAACACCACGCGCCGGACACACGGTGAGGCAGCCCGACAGCGGCTGGCTGGGGTGCGCACTGCGCAGTGTGGCAGCTCATTCCGAAATTGGACCCAGCTGCGAGGGATGAGTTTTACGGAGGCCTTGATGATACTAAAAGCAATTTGCACTAAGGCGCCTGTCGGCGATGCCATTTTCCAAGAGAGCATATCGGGATCCGTCTGGCATTTGGACTTGATCATTTATCTTCTCACCAGTGGGCATTACGGCAACGAGGCCATTAACGTCATTAAGGCCAGCCAGAAATCCTCGTAAGAAAACGGCCTTTGTTTGGCCGAGGCCATTTGCAGTCTCGGCTCATGAGCTGAGCGAGGCACGTCCCGACTCTGTCTGCCAGCTCGCCCCGACTCATCTCCGCTGGGGACGGCCCGAGATGTGCGCTATTGATCGCCGCGGCGGCGTTTGTGACGCACCAGGTGCGCCGCGGAGACGAGCGCGCCGCACCGCGCCACGCAACGGTCCGACTGTCTACATCGATTCTCGATCGGTGATTAGTGAGCAGCGGCGTGCACGGCGTAGCGCGTCCCCTCTTTGTGGCGCGCATCGGCGTCGGATTTGCCGCGCGTGCGCTCATTTGGCGTGCGTCACGCGAGAGAGACGAGCGCGGCGCGACAGCACGGCGACGCGAGCGCCATTGATTGGCGCACCCGTCACGTTACGCCGACTCTCGAATAATGGATGAGCTCCGGTCCAGTTGGACGAATCGATGCGCATTATGGCGAAGGCACGCTATCTGACCTGGTGGCCGGCGTCGCCGCACCGACGGCACCTTTGTGCGCCAGCAGACGGACAGTGAGCGCGTGCCCGCCGACTTTTTGTACCCGCCAGCTATTACCGAATAATTCGAAAAGCAAGCTGGAAAATGCAGCAGAAAAGTAAGCAGATGATGAAACGAAAATCAACGTGGGTTGGCTGTTGCCAGGGGTCCGAGTCTGAGCTTCAAAATTAATAAAACAAAACTCGCTTATTTACCAAGATGATTTTCAAACCTCCTCTTCTAACGCTGCTAGATCGCTTATGCATACAAAACTCCATTTCCCTTGTGTATTTTACCATGTCCCTTGTATGGTTCTATCACGCTTTCACCGTGACAATATGCTGATTTCAAAAATGCTCAATCAGCCCCGGGGTGTCGGCTGGGCGGCCACCCAGCGCCGCCGGCTGTTGTGTTTGTGCCACCCACTCGGCGCCGCTCACCGGGCCCCGGAAACAAAGACGGACCATCTGCCGTGTACCGGTCGGCCGGTCCGATTGCCCCCCCCCCCCCACACACGTCCCCCAGCGGCACCCCTCCGCGACCACCGGTGCGGATGCAGCTGCGCGCGCCTCATTCAGGCCTGCACGCGCGCGATAACGCACTTTAGCCGCCGCGGAAATCGATATTATCGGGTCGCGGCGCGCGCGTGGCTGGGGACGCGATACCCGAGCGGCGACACGCGGTCGGCCGGCGCGGGAGGGAGCGGGCCCGGCGAGCCGGCGCGCCGGCGACAGGCGAGCGGGCCGCCGTGATTAGACGTGTCGTTAGTGTGTGATGTGTAATTAGCGAGCGCATATACAATGCGTAACGCCCTGATGGAGAGGGTGCTGCGTTACACACAGGTCGTTACTGCCGGAATGATGTGGGAAGTCGCGTTAGGGAAAATTACAGTTGTTTGGCAGCTTTACTACGCTGCGCTTGTGCTGATTAATACTCGTATGTTATCATGAAAACATAAACATAATATCATATGTACATGATTACGGGCAGTAAGGATATCACATTTCAAAGAGCTGCGTAACTTAAAACGAACATGATAATCAGACAACTTATCTTTATAACGAAAGCATCTAGCTACCCTCACTGATCAGGGTTATTAGGTTTCAAAGAGCAATATTCCTTACCTCCCGCATGATAAAAGTGGAGCTTTAATTTCCCGATCTCTTTCATGTGTTCTACCATTTTTACCCGGTCAGCCCGTGGGCCCCCAGTGTAGTGTGTTGAGCTCGCCCGAGCGTGGCCCGTCGGCGACTTTTGCCAGCAGCTCTGGGTCTTCACAGAGATCGATGGTCCTCTGGCGCCGCAGTAAGGATTCCCTATCGCCTGCGCCACCGCCAGTCCCAACCACTGTCCGAAACACGTCCCTCCCCGATCGCGCAAACAGCGTCAGTGACTCTTCAGAAATGTCGCATTAGAGTGAAGTTTTCAGACAAAAGTTCCTTTGTTTGGCCAAATAGGTCATGGAATGAAAGATACCATTTAATCTAAGGTCAACGAAGCGTTTTTCAATGGAAAAATCTCAGGCATCTTCTCTTAATGTGAGTGCATTGTTTCAGTGATTGCCAAACTTCTGAGTTTGCCATTACTCGCGATTGCCTTACTTCCTGATCCCTCCTCCGCACCACTCGCGACAGTTTATTACATTTTGCCCGTGCCGTCTTCTCATCTGGAGTGACATCCCGGCGGCGCCGAGGTCCCAGTGTGACCAAACATCCTCTCCGGCCGGCGCCTCCGGTGGCAGCTCGGTAATGGAGCGGTGCGCAGAGCTCCCCAGACGCCGGCGGCGGCGGCACTCGAGACCCGCCGCCGGCGCCCGCCGGTCCCCGGGGCCTCCCGACGGCCAGCGCCACCCGCCGGCCAATTAGCCAATTAGCCAGAGGCCGGCTAGTTCCGCGACGCCGATCCATTAGCGCATTAGCGGAATCAGCATGTCGCGCTGCCGTCGGATGATTTATGACGGCCGAGAGGGAGCGCAAACGAACCGATCCCAGCTGATTTTTCGCTGGCTGCGTCGCGTCGTTAGTGGCTGCTGGATATTAACCTTACATAAAGGCCAGCGTTATTTGGCTTAAATTGGCCCTCCAGACTCTGAATAGAAGACGCTTTGAAGTGCGTGAAATGCATAAGTACCACAAATGCGTGTTTGATTCCATTTCTGGGTAACATATGTAAATTATGCAAAATGTTAGAACAAACGTCTGGCCGTATTCGTGCCCGATTCAAACTGCGCTGAGTGGCACGTTGGGGCAGCGCGCGCTGACGGCTGGCCCGACGGGTGACGGCCGCCGGCGGACCCGCCCAGCTGCGGCCGTGCTGTCACCATATTGTCCCGTGCACCGGTCCGGCCAGTTTTTGTTGCTGCGCCACACGCGGACAGCTGTCGCCGGCCGCCCATCCGCCACCGTGTTATTGTCGTGTGCCGCGCTCGAGTCTCCGCCGTCAGCTGTCCTGCACTGGTAGACTGTACCGCACGACAT